TCTGTTTCGATATATTAATACTTGAGTCACCTTCAAGTGCTTGACGTAATCATCTCTTTTAGATCTCGGCACAGTAGTATTTCTCATAATATTATTAATCCTAATTTCACAGTTTATTTACAAAAATATATATTACTTACTTACTTGCACCTGTTGCTCACAATGGGGCATAGGCCATCGACCAACATTCTCCAACCCACTCTGTCGTGGGTCTTCCTTCCTAGTTCTATCCAATTGTTGTTCATTCTTCTCATGTCTGTCTCCATTTCTCGGCATAATGTGTTCTTTGATCTTCCTCTTCTCCTTTAGCCTTGAGGATTCTAAGTGAGGGCTTTTCTTATGACACAGTTGGGTGCTTTCCTCAATGTGTGTTTTATCCACTTCCAGAGCTTACTGCTCCTCTGGAATCTGGCTTGTTCTCACCGACAGTAGGTAGTTACTGATAATGTCTGGCCAACGGATCCGAAATATTTTGCGTAGACAACTGTTAATAAACACTTGTATCTTTTGGATGATGGCTTTCGTAGTTCTCCAAGTTTCCGCCCCATACAATAGAACTGTCTTGACATTTGTATTGAAAATTCTGACTTGGGTGTTGGTTGACAGTTGTTTTGAGTTCCATATGTTCTTCAATTGTAGATATGTTGCTCTTGCTTTGACGATCCGCGCCTTCACATCTGCTTCAAATCCACCGTGCTCATCAATGATGCTACCCAGATATTTAAATTCTTTTACATCTTCCAAATCTTCTCCGTCAATTGTGATTTGATTGGTACATGCTGTGTTGTATCGGAGAATCGTGGTTTTCCCTTTACGTTTGTTGAGACCTACTGCTGCTACACTGGTCGTTTTCTCCTGCATTTGTTGTTGCGTGTGCGATAGAAGAGCCATATGATCTGTGAAGTATAGATCGTCCAGCTGAATCCTAGCTGTCTACTCTATCCCATCTCCCTCCAACTGTTGTGGTCTTCATGATCCAGTCGATCACCAGGAGAAAGAGAAAGGGTGAGAGTAAGCAACCTTGGCTGAAATCGGTCTTTACTCTGGATGAGTCTGTGAGCTGTCCTCCAAGCACGACTTTGCAGTGTATTCCGTCGTATGAATCTCGGATGATTTTGACGATTTTCTCAGGTACACCATAGTGTCGAATAAGATCCTATAATGTTCTCCTATCCACACTGCCAAATGCTTTCTCATAATCAAGCGAGTTGATGTAAAGTAACGAGTTCCATTCAACTGATTGTTCAACGATGATCCATAGTGTCGCAATTTAGTCTGTGCACGACCGATTTTTAAGGAATCCTGCCTGTTCATCTCGAAGTTGGGCGTCTACTGTTATAACTTGTGACCTGTGTGCCCTGTTTATTGTATTACGTAACGATACCGCCAATTAGGGAGTAGTGCCTTATCGATCGCGTCAATGACGCGTAAAACCGTATAAGCAGTCTAGATTCCTTATTGCTCCTGCTCCCTGCTTAGCCCAGTCAGTTAAGTCCAGATCATCAATCCGAGCCTCTGCGATATGAATCATGTAATTCAAACATACTCGGTTTATATACCAATCAGACAGACCACATCATACCAATAAAATATGAAACAACATTTGTACAAGAATCAGCCAGATGTGGCTGTGAATGAGGGAGGTAATAATGGTAAAACGTATAATAATAGTTTATATATCAAAATAAAGCTTATAATAAGAGGAATATGAATATGCATAGTTTAGTTACTTAATATTTATACAATAGAAATATACGTTTCGTATTGGTTCATAAATGGATCTCAAAAGTTACCACTCATTATTCTTGTCGGGACTTTACATCTACTGAGTTTCCCATCTGGTTCAGCAACACTGTTGAAAACATTTCCCGGTACTGACAGTAGTGTGATACCTCTGTAGTTTTCAAATTTGCTCAGATCTCCTTTCTTTGATATCTTGATGAGGTGTCCTTCCTGAATCGAACGTGGTGCATGTTTGCAATTGCTTTTGTGTCTCAATTCAGTGCTTCAGCTGATATATTGTCAGATCCTGCTGCTTTTCCACTGTTGATTTGTTTTATGGCCATGGTGATCTCTTCAATTGTTGTGGCTCAACATCGGTCGGCAGTTCCGTGGGTAGCTGCTTCAATGTCGGATGGATTCATCAGGGCTGGTGGATCCAAAAGTTCTTTAAATTGCTCTGCCCACCATTTTCGTTGTTCTTCAGTGTTGGTGAATACTTTGCTTTCCTTGCTTTTCACTATTCCTTCTTTTTTACGATGATTTTCTGCGAGTTTCTTAGTTGTATCATACATTTGTCTCGTTTCCTCTTCCACATATTTACGTTTGTCTGTTCTGATGCTCTTCTTCATTTACTTGTTTGCTACCTTGTATTCAGCTTGTACCTTTTCTTTATGTGCTCTTGTTCGGCTGATATTGATTTTTCCCTGCTTATTACTCCTTTCTTTAATCTTATCTAGTGTATCAAATGTGACTCATGCCTTCTGATGGTGCTTCTTGTGGCCCAGAACCTCATGATATGTTGAAGCGATTGTCTCCTTGATCCCCTTTCAGTTGTTCTCCATAGTCGTTCCTTCTACATTGAGTAGATCGTGAAAGGCCTGGGACCTATTGCTGAGGGTTTTCTTGAATTCGTTGAGTCTGTCAGTATCCCAAAGAAAGGCCTTATTAAAATTTTATGATGTTATCCGCCCTGTTATCCAGTGCTTCTTGAGTTTCAATTTCATCTTGGCGACCAGCAAGTGGTGATCTGAGGCTATATCAGCCCCTGTCTTAGTCTTACGTCCTCCATCGTCCTTCTGAACTTTTTATTGATGGAGATATGGTCGATTTGGTTTTGTGTAGTGTGATCCGGTGCAGTCCATGTGCGTTTTTGTACGTTACTGAGTTATTTTTAGGCCTTGGAATTGATATTGTTCATTATCACAAAATTAGTTTAACAGTATCGAATCAAATAATTTAACCACTCCATATGTGTACTGTAGTGTTTATAATTTGATTGAAATTTCGTTTTTATGTCATTCACCTCTTCTTGTCTAGTCGGGTTTATGAATTATAAATACAATTTAGACTTTAGGATGTTTTGTAGTCTACATTCAGCTAAAAGTACTATTAGCATGACAAAGTATACCTTATCTGATAACTTGTGTTTTTAGATTTTTTACTGTATGGGAATTATGTTTTTTTTATATAATATATGTATCCTTATTCTTCTGTCTGTGATATAAAATATTAGTACATAAACACACCTCAACGTTTTATGTCATATAAGATAATAGAAATATTATCTAATACCATAAGAATCTTCATGTGATTAAATATGAAATGAAAAACCATTGTTTCACGCATGATTTACTCATTTGATAACGAAAAATGGAAATTAGACAAAAGTGGACTGAGTGAATATGCATATTTTTATCAGGTGTTTAAGCATTATAAGAATATGTCGTTACCCTGGTGAATTTGAAATTCTTATCACTTGATCTCACTGTACAGTTTAAAGCAGACTTATCTGTCTTTAATTGCGTTAGAACTGTTTATCAAAACTCAAATGCATATGATAGACATGAATGTTTGGTTTTGTGCAGTTCTATCTTAATAGATAACAAATGCGTTATAGATTTTACGATTTTTACTTTCATCAGTTAATATTCATCAAAAGAGATATTGATCATCAATGAGTACATTATTTCTCTTTTGTATCATCTAAAAATTATTATACACCTCAAGTTCATAGCTGCTTCTCTAGCTTTAAATTTATTAAGAGTATTCAATTAATTATTCCTTGGAAACTTACTTATTTTCACGAAAAACTGGTGTGGAGTGATATTGGTTTATTATTATTATTGATGTCAACAGAGTTATACACAACAGTTCAGATTACTGTACAATCTTATTCAGCGTTATGAATATCGAAGTTGGCTTGTAATCCGAACACTAAGACATTTTAATTAGATTGAATTAGTCATAGGGTCTTCTCTGGAAACATTTTAATCATACCAGTGCATCTCTAAAATATCCATTTGTTTTCAATCTATGTCTCAGTGTGCATTTATTTAATCGTTTCATTTGTTCAGCGTACACGAAAGAAACATATTAGTCGTTATCGTCCCGAGGAAAAGAATCACATGAACTACATAAATGATAGTTATTTTCGATAAATTTTGGGACATACATGTTTCTTCATGTCTATGTAGCCAAATGACTTTATTTTCTCTTAACAAATGAAAATCCTAGTTAGTTTCTACATGTACTAATGAATTGTATACCAATATGTTTTTTGGTTCTTTGCGTACCTATATATATAATTGACATAAAAATGTCGTTTAAGTGGTGTATTATTTCAACGTTAAAATATTAGTTTGTCGTGTTTTTGTTAAGTCACTTGATTTTTTCCAGCAACTTTTCGATTTCAGTGGATATAATGACTGTACTGATAAGAAGTAGGACAATTTGTTTTCACTTTTTTACATAAGTCTCAACATTATTATCTCCTTCCTGAATCAATCATCAATTCGAAGGCAACTTGCCCAATCAATAATTTTTCATGATCCCGATTTCGTTGTGATTTATTGTATATATATATTTATTGCCGCCTGTCCACTCATGCGTTTTCCTTGTATTTATCAAGTAAATAACTACCCTTCACACACTTCATCATCTCACTAACGATTACATAACCTTTGTTTCATACTTGGAATCTTCTGGCCATTTTTTATGATGCTTTACTTATCTTGACACTAACATGTATCACGTAATAATAAATACGTTTGTTCCAAGCTTCAATGACATCGTGTTCACTGCTTTTTTTGTTTACGTTTTATATCATTCCGATAATAAAAATATGATTTCAACTTTCCGTTCAGTGAATATATTGTACCATTTTATTTTACTAGTCTGTTTTTTACAATTTCAATTTTAAACTCTTCGTCACACAGAGATGAACACCTCGTAAGTTTATTTTCTTGTTTTTCATACGCATTTTCATCTGTTTATGTCAGGTTATGGATATCAATATGGCTTATGATGGATTAGATGATATTGGTTTCGCCTATTCAACTGGTGATACTTTCTCTGATGATCATTTGAATACTGCTGAAAATTTATCCGGTAACGTGACTAAGGATACTGTCCAACAGTCATTACCTCATGTATCCAGTGGGAGTGTTAGCTCTTATCAATCTGCATCTCCAACAGAAAGGGTGGGTTTTGTAAACAATGTAAAGGCATTTGGTTTTTTTAAAAAGTATTTCTGTCATGCCAACAGTAAAATTAAAACTTTCAATAACCAACATTTCATCTTAATCATCCAACGGATTAATAATAATAATTTATATATTCTGAAAATAATAATTACAGAATTCACGCCAGTTTACAGGCATGTTTAATTTCATATAAATAGTAACATTAGATGTACAGAACAAACATGTGATAGAAGAAATTTTTAGGTATACTAGTTCACTGATTGTTTAGATAGTACATGTATTACAGCGATCCAATGGATCAGCCGGGAACTTTTAATATTTCTTAAATGGACAGCCCGTTGATTTATGAACGGTGTAATTAAAGGCCATTTCGTGTGCCAGACCGAATTAATGATAATTTTCTACAACTAGAGAAATTAAAATGAAAACAGAGAGCACGGAACAACGAAGCAGTAATTACCAAAATATGTTAATCAGGTCTACCAAAATGCGTGTGTCATATGACACAGTGATATAACGTTGATGTTAGATGTTATTCAAATTAGTTAAAGTTACTTGGGACGGTGTTAACATAAAGTGACAGCAAGTAGGTGGTTTTACTTAGGGAATGTACTAATAAAAGTGGCTAAACATTTAAAGTTCCTATAATATCACTTGTGAAATTAGATACACTTACAGGTGCTAGAATATTCAATGCATTTTCAGAGGAGCAGTATGCATCGACGCAGCGAACAAATAATGGGAGTGATTTTATCGTGAGGATAGATTGTGGTAGGTTATTCCAGAGTCTAGAAAATTTACATGTGAAGTAATTCATATAAAGAGATGATTTAGAATGAGTTTGTTTCACTAGTGCCAAGGAATTACGGATGTCATAATGAGAGGTTTCTGCATACTGAATCGCGTGATCGGATGTAAATGATAGTTTATGAAGTAGTTTGAAGAAAAAGATAAGATTTAGTTTGAGTCTCCTCCTCCATAAAGGGTCTAGCCCAAGTTTATTACATCTAGAATTATAAGTTAAGGTACAATCAGCTTCAAGAATACGAAGTGTAAATCGTCTCTGTACTGATTCCAGCCTTAATTTATCCTTTATGAGCGCACTGCTAAGAATAAACGTGCAGTATTCCAGAAGAGGTCGAGCACAAACTTTGTACATTAGAATACGTGACTCAGTGTTGTGAAGATTTCGAGTTATGTAACCTATTAGACGTTGAGACTTAGAGGTCTGTTTTAATATATGTTCTGTAAACGACAGGTCTTGGGAATATCTAAGTCCTAAGTCTACTACTGTATGTAACCTAGGTAACACTTCTCCATTTATGGTAATGTCTAGGTTGAGTGATGTATTGCCGAAACATATCCATCCACATTCAGCCGTATTAAGCTCCAGTTGCCATTTTAAGCACCACTGTGCTACCTTGTTAAGCTCCATGCTGATGCAATTCTGCATATTTTTCAGGTCATGTGGAGAAAATGAATATACTACTTTAAGATCATCTGCATATAGAAGGGGCTTACCGACACAAAAACTTTCACAAATGTCATTGATAAACACTAAAAAGAGCAAAGGACCTAAGACACTACCTTGTATTACACCACTTCTAACAGGGACAGCGTTAGACAATGAGTTAATTTTAACTATTTGATGTCGATTGCTGAGATAGGAATCACACCAAGCTAGCAAAGGATTTTAAACCCTATAAGATGCGAGCTTACCTATAAGAAGTTGATGGCTAACCATGCCAAAGGCTTTAGAAATGTCCAGATATAGCACTAAGACTAGATATCCTTGGCTACTTAGAGAATAGACTAAATTAAAGAAGTCAAAATGACATGTCATGCAAGAACGATTTTTAAGAAATCCATGTTGAGTATCATTGATAAATTTTCCAGCAAGTAAATAGTTGGAAAGTTCATCACTTATAATTTTTTCCATAATCCTAGAAATAACGACTAATATTTATTGGCCAGTAATTGTTCATGTCAGTCTTATCTCCAGATTTGTAACGAGGTATGATGTACGCGGTTTTCCAACAGTAAGGGTAAGAACCGGTTTCCATAGAGAGAGTAAACAGCTTTAGAAGAAGAAGTTGAATATCTGGACCACCATATTTGTAGAGAAATGATGAAATCCCGTCTACTCCATGACCTTTCGAAAGCTTAAGGGTATTTATAGCCTTATTAATTTTCATGCATGTGAAGGAGATAAATTTTATTGAGTTGCTAGTCACGCACATAACTCTTGAAGCATAGCCACTTATGTTTTCTACACTATTCGCGAATATACTACTGAAAAGGTCGGCCATGGTTTTAGAGTCGTATATAAAAGTGCTATTATGCTGGATGCATGGTATATCAACATTTTGAGTTGCTTTAGCGCGTTTATTGAAAAGGAGAGTTAATTTTATGTACTTTTGAGTTAGTATTAAGTGCTAGTATCTCCTTATTAATGGCTTGTAAACTATGTTTCTCTTTAATTTAATTAAAAATTATTGTTATTTGTGCAACTGCCGTGAAGTCGTTTGACTTAAAATAACGACTCTGTAGGCGTCTTAGCTTATTACTATATTTAGCTGGTATATATAATTCGTAAGTTTTACTAAACCTGTACGTTTTAAGAGGTACACAGGAATCTAAACAAGAGTTAACGATCAGATAGAATTCGTCGATAGCATCCATGAGACTGTTACATGAAGAAAAGTTATCCCAGTCTGAATGTTTAATCAGTGAATCCAAGAGGTCCCAGTCAGCATGCTTATAGTCTCTTTATTGACAGGTTTTTTGAATGGGTCGATTATAAGAGGCATAGATAGGGAGAGCGCAGACTACTATCTTATGGTCACTGCTTTCAAATTCATGGTATACTTTTACAGATAGCGGGATGACATCTCTACTAAATATTAGATCAACTATACTGTCGCCTCTGGTTGGGGTACGTACCCATTCTATGTAGTAGATTATCGAAAAAAAGTTCTGTATAAAAATATCATTTGCAAGGATTATAATTTTTATTTATGAATGTACTTTGTGTCACCAAACCATTTTTGACTTATTCGTTACTTCATTATGGAAGGAAGAAATTGAACATTTTGTTAAGTTTTAACGTTTTTATTGCGGATACATGGTTACATAATTAATGATTGTCAGTTGTGTTGAATTCCCTCATGTATCATACCATATCACTTTCATCTCCTGAAGAGTACTTATTAAAAATGGTATTTGTATTAGATAATTGTGAAAAATGGGGGGGGGTATGTCAGATACTATATTTATCACAAGCAAATTGAGACAAAATTACATTTCGTTAGATAATTCATTGAGTCACAGTCAACCTTCGTTCTGACACTAGTGTTTGTCGCCCTAATTTTCTGTAACGTACATCTACGCAATGAGAAAGGAAACTGACTAAATGAATATAAGTATAAGGGGGAAAATAATACCAACTGAGGTAGGAAGCCTATAGATGAGAATTAGAGTTCACACGGAACAGATGAAACCGAATAATGACAAAAATGCAACGAAATTAAACTGAATATTTTTAGAGGAAGATAGCAAACTATCTCAGCTGTAAATAAAATAATATATTTGTAATATCTCAATGAATAGAAACATTCAATTTTCTGACGTTTCGTAACTCAGTGTAAGACACTTCTTCAGAGAATAAATAACCAAATAAAAATAATTAAATAGTACAAAGGAATCTTTGTATATAAATATATTATAGTTATGGATAATAATCTACCCAATGCTCAATTCATTTAAAACTACCAAGTCAAACCTTGGTAATGATACCCATCTCAGCTGGTTCCACCATAATTGATTTTGACGCGTGTTACCTAGTCTTTAACAATAACATACGAAGTTTAAGCCAGATATTCGTCTGAATTCAATGTACACACTTTGGTTATTCTGAGATCATCTCTCTTTCCATTCACCCAAAGTTTTTCGAATTCCCAGACTGTTGCAAACTGCGATTTGTATTAATCGAAGAACTTCGGTTTTAAGACACTAACTTTGTGTCAACTAAACAACATTTTTGAACCAAACACTCTGTAATGGATAACTATTTTATAGTTTTCAATTTTCTACTGTTTAAAATTGTTCTTCAATCTTCTCTTGATAAAACTTTGTATGCTTTGTTTTCAACCTTTTATTACTGTATGTAGGTTTCTTTATTTTCTGTGCAAATTGATTTCCGTGCTTTACAGTGGTTTGAATTGATTGTGAAAAATATTTACGACTTAAAATGTCCTACAACTTTTACAGTATCTTCTTGCATACATTCATTGCGTGACTAAACTGACCTATTTAATTTTTCTTGAAGCGTTCTTTTTTTTATTAGTTCTTTTCATTTCGCTAATTTGTCTAAACGTTTAGTGATGTGTATATAGAGTTGTGACAATATATTCTTATTACGGAGTTCTATTCGTAACCGAATTTCCCGTATTATATACTAGATCTACTAACTTTCCTTCTGATTATTTGATCTTCATTTATTTCAAATTTCGCACCGTCAAAAATATCTGATGTAACTTTTCTGATGAAAAGATCAATAAATATGTAGCTAATCCAAACTTTTTTCCTTTTGAAATCTGATAAGTTATTCATGAACTGTTAAAAGCTTACTTAGTAGAAGTTCTGTTGTATTCCATTAGATAGATTTTATTTCGTTTCCCATCAACACATTTGTGATTATTTGAAGTAATCATGTTTCTTGTTTTCCACAGATGAATGGAAAAGGAATGTACTTATTTTGTGTCATTCAATGCACTTAGAAACTGTTTGCACATGTTCGTATTTTTTTTTAAATTGGAAGATGCGCACCATTTAGATGTATGAAAACATGTGATTGAGAATTCAGTTGATAAACTGGTTGCAAGAATGGTTTTTGGTGGGAATTTTCTTCCTAGTCTAAATGGACATAGCAGCTGCTCACTGGGTTCCATGTGAGTACTGATCAAACAGAGTGATTTCCAGGTTATCCCGCGTGGTGCGGGATCGTGGGTGCGCACTGCTGAGGAGTCCCATATCAGGACGAAACGGCCGACCAGTGCTTCCAGGTTTTCAATGGTGGTCTAGCTTCAACTGACTCATGATTTCAACCTGTGAAATTTCTAAAAATCTCCACAAAACCCATTCTGATAAAAAAAATGAATAAGCTGTGAACGAAACAAATTTTTTTCTGGATGATTATCAAAAATTATTATCAGTATTCTTTTTGTGGTTTTTATTGTTTGTTTAGCGGTTATATATTCTTGACATCTGTGACTAGTGTTTTTCAATACCTATTGTCTTATATCTTTATGCGTATGCTTTCATGCAGGCATTTAACAAGACATATTTAGGGACAATAATTACGATACGTAGATTGCTTTTATTTTTATATATCTGTCCTAAGAAATACGCTGATCGAAATTTCATGTTTTCTGTATATTTATATCACAATAAATTATGTCCTACGTTCTGTTGGTCTAAATGTTATCGCTTTCGTTCTATTGTCTTACTGTAACTAGCGTAATTTTTCTTTATCAAGTATTTGTTATTTCAACTTCGGCATAAGTAGTCCACAAGTTTAATAACTAATATAACCAGTTTTTATTCAAGTTTTCAGTTCAACTCATCGGTTATATCGAAAAAAATGAAAGATATTACTAGCATTCTGACTAGATTTACTCATTCCTGTCAGTCGAAATTCAATGGAGAAGATAACTGATTATTCAACAACTAAGCCGTTTATGTTTACTTTTTAACAACCTGATATTTCTCATGTCAATGCTTAACACTGACCTGTAAGCGCCTCGTACTTCCACAAACATCTCTGAAACTTAAGCTGAGCTCCGAACAAAGAAACAAAATACTTTTAGTATGTAAAGAAGCTTTACTCTGGAATTTACTTCAGCACATTAATAGGTTTAGATATGAACCTGGTATTTTGGGAGCCTTTGGGAACATGCTACAGTTAGTAATAAAGTTGGTATTTATCCACTCAGGATATAACACATAATCCGTCGTTTTTTTCATGGGAAGCTCATTTCGATTGATTGGACAAGTATTTTCAGCGTTTTCTCAACTTCTGAAGAGTTTTCTGAGGAACTCTTAAGCCCTACTAACACGAACTCTTAGAAACGATCAAGTTGTTGGCTAGAGTTTGTCATAATTAAACTCTGAACAGCAACATTTAGGACATTCGTCGATTGTTAACTCGATGACCTATAAAATCAGCTGATGTGTTATACAAGTCACATTATATTATTTACATAGCTTCCATTCTTTTTATCTTCATGCACATTTATTGATTTTATTTGTCCTTTTCCTTTCCGTTGTATTTACATGAAATTCTTCATTTAATATTCTTTAAAAAAACTAAGATTATCTAGTTTTTTTTATTTTTATTTCTTTAAACGATCTCTTCGGTCACATTTTACTAACTCATATTTCTGCGATGACATTTAGTGTTATCGGATTTATTGGCCATTATGATTTTCAATTTGACCATTTTATTTTCTTAATTTGGCTTGATGTTGCTATATAAACTGGGTTGCTTCACTTTAATTTTTGACTTATGTTCGGAACAAAACTATTCTTAAAGTCTTGCTTTCTCAACCATATATTTGCGTGTAGAGTATCAACGTGGAATTGTTGTTGTGTATCATTTAAAGCAGAGCCCGCAAACGTGAACTACTGAACGATTGTTATATTTTCCTTAGGGTCAAATTATTGCTTTCTTAATGTAAGATTAAATAACATTTCTTTATTGTGAAACTAGTGATCTCCACAAAGTTTATTCTTTTATCATGTGTAGTATTAAAAGAGTATTCGACATTCTTTCTTCCTTGAATAGGATTTACGCGTATTCGTTCCAGTACGTCAAGGTAGCCATCATTGGCCTCCTGGCTACCAACCACTTCTTGTTTGTCGTGTAGGCATACTTGGACTAAGCTTTGAGTCAAATATAAAGTCAAGTACCGATCCTACAGCTTCCTGTCTCATCCCTCCGCCATCTATTACAGCTATTAGTATGAGTTCAGCTTTTAGTTTGTAAGTTTCAAACTTCCTAATTATAGTTCTTTGTTTACTTTTTAACTAGATCGTCGAACACAAATTATTTCTAGGTGAAAAATGTCCATTTTTTTTCGATCATTCTACCATCTGTTTGTGAGAAAATCTCTACTTCTCATCCTGTTTCAATTGTTTAGACGAAATTACCTTTCGTAGCTCTAATGGCACAACCTAATCACGGTACCTGTTCATTAATTGCGTCCTGAATTTACGCAAAAAAGAAGTCTAATTTAAATCTGCTGAACCGTATAAATCTGATCATCTAGGCTGACTGAGTTATTTGTTTCAAATTTTTAGTCAAGTTGCTTGAGAGTACACACCAGTTTCATTCTATCAATCAAACTGTTCATGATTATCTTGTGAAACGTTGGGTCATTATCTTTTCTCTAGCCTCTAATGTATTTAAACCTTTGAAATCCAGCTCACAATCCTTCACTGAGAATATAATATTCGTTCATGTTTAGAAAAGTTTATCCTCATTTAATTTATCATGTGCCTCATCAAATGTTTATGGTACTGTAACTCGTCGGGATAGAATATAAGCCTTGCAAATCACACCTGACAGACTGCTTATGTTCATAATAACAGTTCATTTAGGCTTATTATAAATATCAAGCTATTGTGGCACATTTTAAATGCTCATCTTATTTTTTTTACATCATTTTTTAGTCATCATGTACAAAAGGTTATTTCAATTTACTTACAATCGTTTTAGTTATCATTCTAACAGCGGAACTATTACTTGTTTTTAGAATGGCTATCGGAAGCGAATTCGGCATTGCTGTTGTGGATTATGTTCACAAGATTTGCTTGCTGTCTATTTCATCTTCTGACTTATTAAGTGAGTTTTTTAAATTTTTAACTATACTATCCATTATTTTCTAAATATCTGTTTTTTATTATTGGAGAATTGTCGAAATTATTGTTTAATTTACAGCTTGTTCTCATGAAGTAACATCATTTGATATCAAAAGGCAACTGGATAGCTGTTTAGTCCATAGTCTTGGACTCCTTGGATTCATACTTTTATCGATGATTAGTAATAATGAAATCGGGTGAAGGTAGTTAGGTTATGAACGTGTATTGTTTATTTGTAAAGAATCGGTTTTAGTACTCCATCATTATACTTTTGGACAATGTAACAACACGCATTACAATCTAATTCATCGATATCTCAATTTTATTACATTATTTATGATACCCCATTTCGTCTACTTAATACTAACTACTTCTTAATCTCATCGATACATTTGACCGGGTTAATTACAGTCAAACCTTGTTGTTAGACGATGAATATTGATGCTACAATACTTTCTTCTCCAACCATTTCCCTTTATCTCTTTTGGTGGATTTTTGAAGTCAAACTAGTAATTATCACTAGCATGAACAAAATGAATAAAAAATTGCTGTCCCCACTTTCGTCAGTGTTTGTTTCTAGAGGGAGTTCACTTTTTTTAATTGTCTGAATTTGCTTTTCGTCTTATCTGATTTTTGTTTTTTCAAATAGTATTCTTTACAATAAACGTGCATTATTACTGACTACTCTTGAACAAGTAGTACACATATTTAACTGACCTTTTTGTCTATGCAGTTAGACGTTATTAGTTAATTTTACGTAGTCCATGCCTGAGATGACAACCTTTTTATGTCTCTGTGGTATCAAGTATTTTTTTGCAGTTTGATAGCGGAATATTGTACCTATACATTTACTTATTGACTTCATTTTTTATTAAACTTATGTTATTAGTGGCTCTGCGATGGATTCAGTCTTTTTATTCTTCAATCTTAACGATTTCATTAAAACTCCATTATTCTGAACATATGTTCATCAAATAAGAACACAACCACTGTTTTATAGTCTCATTCTCTTCAATCACTCTCAAGAGTACTAGATTGCTAACTCTTTCTTTCTAAATTATTTATTTATTTGAACACATATTGGTATAAGGGGGCACCAAATATATGTGCGCCACACAAAACAATGAGAATGGGAAGGGAGAGAAAAGGAAGGTAAGAAGCGTAAAAGAGGAAAAAGAACAATAACGACCAGATTAGTGTAGGGTAGTGTAAAATAATAACTGATCTCATTGACGCGTTGTAGTTCCAACCTTTTACAGCCAGACTGACATCACGAAGGCGCCAAAGATGGCCCAGATTGGCATAAGCCGCTCTGGCTTTCACTATCCGTAAATTGGTCTCATCACTCACACCACCACCAACACTTACTCAGCTACCCGAATACACAGTATAGGATTAGAATCCTGCCAGTCTTGTAGAAGTACTTTGCACTTCGAAGGTGCAAAGCACATACCATACTTATAGACACTGATTACCAACTGGTTAAGTGAGGAGTGCATGCCTTGGGCATTATCGCACAGTAAGACAATACTCAAGGTCAAGAAGACTTTCTCCAGGCAACAGATCCACACCACCATTACTTACATCCACCAGAGCTGTTTCCAGAATGTCGTCGATGGCAAAGTTGAAGAGGAATGGTGAGATTGGGCAACCCTGTCTAACCTCACTGCTCGAATGGAACAATGGAGAAAGGTGGTCGTATTCCCTTACTCTGTCTGAGGTGTTAGTATATAAGGCTTCGAAGATGTTAATAAACTTCCTAAGCACACTCTTCTTCAACAGACAGTCCCAGAGAACAGTCTTGTCCAACAAATCGAAGGCAGCCGTGAAGTCAAGAAACACTACGATTGTTGGCCCTTGATAAATATGACAGTGTTCTAACATTTGGTGAAGGCTGAACATATGATCAATACATCCTCGACCAGGACGAAACCCAGCCTGCTCCTCACGAGTCAATCATTCTCGGGTTTTGAACAACCTATGAAGTGTAACGGAAGCCAATAGCTTGGACGCATTCGGAAGTAGACTTATCCCCCGATAGTTGTTGCAGGGACGACGTGAACCCTTTTTAAAGATAGGGACAACTATCGACTCATTCCATGACGTTGGTACACTCTCAAGTTCCCAAACCTTTGTAAACAACGTCGTCAATTCCTTAGTCAGAAAGTCACCACCATCTTTAAAAAGGCCAGAGGTAAGTCATCTTGGCCCCGTGACTTGTAGCGTTTCAAGAGTTGGAGTTCCTTGCGGACTTCCGCCTCATTTGGTAAATCAGTCGTCATCGGTCGTGGAGGGCAGGACAGTTTGACCGATGTTGCCAGAGCAGCAAACTAGTTGAACTGCCCTTCGAAGAGTTCTGCTCATCGTCCAAGACGTCGATGGATGTTAGTAATTGGCATCCCATCATCCTCGCGGATTGTTTCGCTCACACCAGACTTGTACACAACCATGCCAGCGGTAGCTGATCGCGATGTGATCAATCTGAGTCCAGGCTTGGGATGCAGAGGGAGGACGCCAGGTGGCACATCGGCGATAACTGTGCCGATAGTTATTGCTAGCCAGAAACAGGTTGTGGTCTGTGCACAGTTGCGGTAGACCGTTCCCATTATCTGACCTGCGACCAAGAAGTCCCCATCGGCTACCTAAATGACTCCCTTCTGTGCCTAGACGTCCGACCTGAGCATTCAAGTCTCCGGCTAGTACTACAATATCTGTCGAACGCACTTTCTGGAGAAGAACTGATAACTGGTGGTAAAACTCATCCTTGATTGCATCCGGACTGCAATCTGTCGGGGCATAGGCGAAGATGACGAAAAGACATCGTTTCTCACGCCGATTTCTTCTCACTTTGATGGAACTTTCTAATCTAACAGCACATAACCGACTGTTAATGGGGATCCAATCGACTAGTGCTGCCTCAGCTCTAGCGCTTAGTCCGACAGCAACTCCAGCAAGACCAGACGGAGATGCCACAGGGTTCCCGGATAAGCGCACGTAAAACAAGCTTTTTGGGCGACAGATGGAGATCGAATTTGTAGTACTTCGTCAGAGTCTTGAATACGGGTCTCGGATAGACAGCAAACGTCAATATTAAGACTTTCTAAAGACATAACCACCCCTATCTGTTATCCGACCTGCATAAGTGTGCGAACGTTGAAGGCAGCCAGTTTGAATGGTGCACGTGGTTTCAGAAAAACTGCTTCAGTACTCATATTCGATGGTAACATACAATTTCCAACCGGACAGTGACTCGAGAACGTTTAGATACAGTCGGATTTCCACCAAAGCCGAGCCGCTGTATAAGTCGAAAAGTAAGGATACATAAAGTGGGAATAAAAGAGTGAATAAATGACGTAAATAAAAATAATAATGTGAATTGTTTGACTGTTAGAATTTTCAGTAAATATCGTCGTTTTTATTTCATTTGTGTGTGGGCTGTGATACTACCCGGGTGCCCAAACCGAAGCAGGTGGTTTTCTTAGGGGGCCACTCCCCGAGCCTTTGACCTAATGGTCTTACCCTCAAGGCAGTGGAGCATCGTGAGGAGATGCAGTCCCATGGTAGCCGGTGACCAACGATTGGTTCATACGCCATTTGTTCCCTGAGGGTACTGGAGCCCATGTGCACCATTGGTTTGGGATCCGGTTAAAGCGCTGGACATTCGCTTTTCGTCCTCTCATTTTTGTAAACAACACCTTCGCCACTAGAAGACAGTGAGTAGGACTTCCCTGGCAGAGGCTGTATATGCGTGGCCATGTGAGAGCATTTCAAGAGGGGCTGAGGGCCCACCCCACTCTTGGTCATATCAGGGCATTTGCGGGCTTATTTCTAGATAAATGAAGTTAACCTTTAAATAAGATAATATTACTCAAGGAAATGCTTTTGGCTGGATAATCTTCTATAAAACTTCTTTGTTCACCATTTTATTTTTTGGGGGGGTCGATTAGTTTGACACTGTTCATTCGACACATATTTAAACCAATGTATTGTTTCGTCTCAACGGTTGTTGCTACCTTAACGTGATGGTCGAGCTTGCCTGTTGTGATGAGCCAATCCAGCTATACTGTCTGGAACAATTGTATACTGCGCTGCAGTTCGTTCTGTTCTACTTTACGGCTGTGAAACATGGCCATTAAGAGTTAAAGATACTCGTAAGCTACTAGCATTTGACCACAGATGCCTTAGAAACATTGCTGGCTTCTGCTGGGATCACCGGGTAAATAATAGTGAGGTTAGACACAGGGTATTAGGGAATGATGGCAAATTAGTTAATGACGTTGTAAATCTTCATCGAATGAGATGGTTGGGCCATGTGTTGCGTATGCCTGAACACCGTTTACCACGACGAGCAGTGTTGTAGACGTATGGAAGAATGTTAGGGGCGACCGAACCAAAACGTATCATCAGTGCTTGAAGTCACTAACTTCTGGTCTGAACCATGTTGGTAGATGCAGACTACTTAGTCAGGGTCCGCGTGACTATTGTAACCAATGGTTAGAGACTCTTTGTGATATGGCTCAGAATCGATCACAATAGCGTGGGTGTATACACTCTATGTCTTCCCTCAAACCGTGAGATTAAAATTACTCAATATCTTTCTTTCTACAAACTAATTCTTTCTTCCTGTACTATGTTCTTATATGCAATCTTTCTATTATATATAACCACCACTGAATCAACTACTTCTATGAATTTGGTGTTCATCTTGTTGTGCTAATGAGGTATGGCGACTTGGACCGATGCATATATGTGTCTGGTCCGATGTGGTAGCTGACTGACTGAATATATCATTGATTGTACTTTGTGAATGTTTTTGTTTGATTTTTTGTTAACAACGCGTCTATGTTATTAGTTTTTTAAAACCACGCGCTACTTCATATGTTAAGACCTCGTGTGACCTCCTCCAGCTCATCAAATAATCATTGTTTTATTTAATTGAGATTCAGTTAGGTAATTAAATCATTTCGTCAATAACTGTAGTTATATATTTCTGCTTATTATCATAACAAATGAAAAGTGTTGTCAGTATTATCAAATAAACAGTTTACATGATTTTTATCAGTTCTACTAATACTATAAGTATTTATTTTCGCTTATTAACTAACTCCATCAGGTCGTGGTCCTATCAATCTAACTGGGTCGTCTGCTTCGGGTGAAGTGAAATTCTGTGATCAGGTAGTTAATTATATCTTCGTTAGTTGAACTCCCATTACCATATGATTTTTGTGTTTAACCATTTCTGAAAAAACGTTTATATGTAATGAAACGATGAATACCAAAGCGATCATTTTAGATTTAGGCAAAAATTTTTCTGTACCTGTCTATACAGATGTATTATTTTCGTTTTCATTTCAAACAGGCTTTTTTTCTATAAAATTTAGCTCTAATAAAACGGTGATCGAAAATGTTAACTTTTGTTCATGCTAGTCTCATGTGGAGGTTCAATTATAAATCAACCCGATTCATTTATATCAGGTTAATTAGTTTAAATATTCGCATAAAAACATAAATATTGAGTGCATATTCTGCAGTTTAAGATGTGCACATATTTATCTTTTAGCATACAGTATTTTTTCTATTTATGATTCATCCTAGAAAAAAGGTTTTATTTGATCAGTTTTCCATTTTTTGTTAGCATGTTTAACGAAAATCATGACTATAAGTTTTTTTTCAAAAGATTCTAATGAAGAAATAACTGAAAACCAAATGAGAGCCTTTTTGAATTTTGAACTATTTACCTTATTCAAGTACCTAGATTTTTGGCGGAAAAGTGGAATTTAGCAAATGTGTCATTAAACCCATTGTTGAGATGTTCGTGCTAGTTTTCTACTAGCAAACAGGATTTGCTAAGTGGTAGTATTGAAATCGAATAAACTCCGAAATCCATTTTTAATGTTTTTTAGTGCATTATTAGTTTTGTTAAGTAGCAGTTAGCCTGGATTCAAAGGAACATGATAGTTTCTTGCACGCCATGAGATATTTAGATTTTAATGTTAAATCCATAAGTGTCGGTAGTTCAGTCAGTCAGTAACAACGTAGAACTTCGTACGTACGTACATCAGTTCGAGTTGCCAGTGGTCGATTCAAATCCCGTAGTGGTAGAAGTAATAAGAGTATAAGCAGTAATCGGGAAGATTAGTGTTTGGAGATGTTACTTAAAGACTATAATACAGTGAAATAAATTTGGGAAGAGAAAAGAAAGAGACAAGGAGGAATAAGGAGATCAAAATCTGGGAGAACACAAAGATTGTATGCACCTGTGCCATTGCAAACGATTTTGAGCCATGTCATTCAGGGTCTCTAACCATCGGTTGCTATCATCTCGCGGTCACCAACCAGGTAGTCTACACCTACCAACATGGCTCAGTCTACTTGTCAGTGACTTCATGGATTTGTGCCATGTTTTGGTCTGGCCGCCCCTAGCTTTCTTCCAACCTACTCCTATACAACAAAACATCGCACATCGAGGCACTCGGTCGTTGGGCATACGTAGCACGTGTTCCAGCCATCTCAACTGATGAAGTTTCACTACTTCATCAATTGATTTACCATCCTTACCTAGTACCCTTTTCCTAACAACTGCGTTACTTACTCGATGGTCCCATGATATACGAGCAATGTTTCGAAGACACCTATGATCAAATACTAGTAACCTACGAATATCCTCTACTCTTACCGGTCATGTTTCACTGCCATAAAGCAGGACGGGACGAACTGCTGCGCAGTAAACGCGTCCTTTGGTTGATAGACGGATATCTCGCCTACGCCATAAATGATGCAATTTGGCAAAAGCTAGTCGAGCCTTCTGTATCCGTGCTGAGATTTCGTCACACACCAGACCACAAGGGCTGATGAGACTTCCAAGATAAGTGAAGCAGTCGACACGTTCAACTACTTCACTCCATATCACTAGTTCGGGTGTCGATGTAACCCAATCCTGAAGCAACATTTTGCATTTCGAGGGAGAGAATCGCATCCCGAACATGCTTACATTGTTGCTTAGAGTGGTCAGAAGACTCTGCATTTTGTCAGCGTCTTCACTAAATAAAACTATGTCATCAGCATATTCTAAGTCAACAAGTGAACCTCCCGGTAGAAGTTCAACCCCTGGAAATGTAGATGAGGAGAGTGTTATCTCTAAAAGTACGTCAATGACAAAGTTGGACAAGAATGGAGAGAGTGGACAGCCCTGACGAACACCACTTGAGGTAATCAATTATGATGACAGTTTGCCATAAGCTCTCACTCTACCAGTTGTGTTCGAGTAGAGAGCCTTTACAAAGTTAATGTACTTCTTTGGTACTCCTTTCAATGACAAACACTGCCATAGAACCTCACGATCAACAGAGTCGAATGCTGCTTTAAGGTCGAGAAGTACTACGGTTGTGGGGCGTCTGAATGTGTGTCTGTGATCTAGAATCTGACGTAGTGTGAATATGTGGTATATACAACCACGTCCGGGTCGAAAACCAGCCTGATTTTCTCTAATCTGCTCTTCACGAGCTTTGATTAGGCGTCGAAGTATTATTGGAGCTAATATTTTAGACACTATATTAGTCAAACTGATTCCCCTATGATTGTCACAAGGGAACTTTTTTCCTTTCTTATAGACTGGCACAATCAGTGATTGGGACCAGTCAGATGGGATTACGTCCACTTCCCAAATTCTACCTAAGACCTCGGTTAATCTCATTGCTAATACTGGACCACCATCCTTAAAAATCTCAGGGGTAAACCTGTCAGGGCCTGCTTCTCTCCCTCGCTTCAGATTTCCTATGGCTTTTTCAACTTCGTAATGAGTCGGAGGACCTACATTAACTTGCCATTCAGGTTGACTGGAGATCGTGGGAAACCGAAGTGTGGCTAAAGGCCAGTTGAACTGATCCCTGAAGTTTTCTGCCCATCGATCCAATCTCCTGGATTGAGTATGAATAATATGTCCATCTTTCTCTCAGTGTTTCGCTAACAGTCGGTTTCCTAATACCGGTTTCCTTAACGAGTCTGAACAATTGTCTGCTATTACCTATTGTCGCTGCCTTTTCCATCTCTCTTGCTTTCGGTACCCACCACTGTTCACGATCATTGCGTAGACTTCTTGTCAGCTTGTGCTTAAGCTGACTCCGCTCTTCATTATGTTCAGAGCCAGATGGGATGAGTTTCCGAGCATCTATCAGTGCGATAGATGCTGCTGAGATCCAGTGTTGCTCCCTAACCTTCTGGTTTACCTTACTAGCAGATATCACTGCTGTTTCCACAGCTTTTCGGATATCGTTCCATGCTGCCTCGGGGTGGGCATCACATACATGGCTGCCTAACTGTTTTCCTAGTTGTTCCTGAAATATATTCTTAGCTTGACTATCATTAGGTAGGCCCCTAAGAAGTTTCCTTGCAGCGTCTTTCCTACGTCCAGTAAGACGCAAGCAAATACGCGCTCGCACTAGAGCATGATCTGAATCTAAGTATGTGCTCCAGAATGAGCGACAGTCTTCTATCGAGCCCCTCCATCGGTGGCTGATAGCGATGTGATCTATTTGGGTTCAACGTTGGGACGAATTAGGGGGTCGCCATGCTAAAATGTTTTTCCTTATGCTTAAAGTTAGTATTTGCAAGAAAGAGGCGGTTATCTGAGCATAGCTGCAACAGACGGTCGCCATAATCTGTTCTTTGAGCCACGACACCATAAGATCCACCCAGGTGTCTTTCCCTATCACTTAGTTTACCTACTTGAGCATTAAAGTCACCAGCCACTATTACTATATCCGAGCGCCTAGCTTTTAGGAGGAGGTCGGAGAGCTTTCTGTAAAACTCATGTTTTACATCATCTGAGCTGCAGTCAATGGGAGAATAGGCAGAGACGACGAAGAGGCAACGACGAGTGTCCCTATCTTTCCGGATCCTTACTGTTCCGTTCAGTCGGACAGCGCACAAACGACTGTCTACTGGGATCCACTCTAAGAGAGCTAGTTCTACCCTAGGACTCAATGCTATACCTACGCCGGCGAGGCCACGGGAAGCAGAATCAGGGCTTCCAGATACACGAAGCGTAAATCGAGTCGGTTCTTTATTTTGGCATGGTGAGGTCAGATGAATGACGCTACTCGGATCCTGTATGTGCGTTTCGGAGACGCAGCACACATCGATGGCGCGGGATTCTAAAGTCCTAGTTAAGGAAGCCTGCTGTCCTATTTGGCAAAGTGTTCGTACGTTAAAAGCTCCTACGTGTAGTTTAGAGCGTGGTTTCAGGAGACCAGGAATAGCGTTCCGCGTACTCGAATCGTTTGCCCTAGCGGTGCGAGGTGATAAAGGGACGTGAGAAGGGTTAGTCATGGAGATAAGACGGAAATCCGTGAGGTACTGTGAGGTGTGACATTTTTCGGGTCAACCTTTTCTAATTCCACCCCTTCTTGTGGGAAGGCAACATCGTTGCAGATGCTGGTTGTCCGAGGAAAACACCTCACTGCTGTCACACCCCTCTACAGTCAGCAGTACGACTTCGCCCTCAGACCTTGAGTGTCGGTAGTTGATTTGAAATAATTATCAATAAGTTGCTAAAAGGGCTGACAGTTTCCTCAAACTACAAACGTTTGCTTACAACTCTGTCAGTTGCCAATATCCACTGTACTATAACGTTAATTTAGTTTGTGTTCGAATGAGACAACCATACAGAAGATCAGAGATAACTTAAGACCCGTAGTTCGTTTGAAATTTTGCTAATTCATGTGTCATTTTACTGCTATAATGAAATTACTCTACTAAAGGCCCCATTAATATAAATTTATACATTACAAGCCTTTCTATCCGTCATTCTTTTTAATAAAAAATATGGTTTATGTATAAACTGTAGTTAGTTGACTATGACATGTTGACACTATTCATTCTCGAGGAAACACTTTAGAACTTTAAAGTTAGTATGTGACTATTCGTAGAGGATGATCCTTGTATCCGAATGTTTCTGAACTCATTGACTGACATAATTCAGATCATTTTTTACTTTTTAAAGTTGTATCATAACCACTTATTTTAAATTGAATATTACAATAAAAAGTTAACACGATTTACTGTATCACCCAATTTACACATGTGATGATCCTTGACGCGTCTGTGGAACATCCTATCAGAAAAATCAAATAATTAATTCATGTGGCGTTAAGGATTTATCATTCTGGCTCAGAATTTCTATACTCGCATCTTTTTTGTCTACTGAAGTTTTACCTTACAACATGTCGGTGATATAGGCAGATCAAAATAGTCATTAAAGGCTCCTTCCTTTTTTATTTTTACTGTGTTTGGTGTTATGAACTTTAAGTGACTAATATTTCAACGAAAAAATTTCATGTCACTCACTTTATTTTGTTTAGCCTACTCAATTAAAGAGATTAACATTAATAACATATCTTTTCAATGAATTTAGTTCCTTGCTTTATAAATGAGTCAGTTATATTCAATGATTTCAATCATATATTATATCACAGATTGAAATCATGAGTCAGTTGAAGCTAGACCACCATTGAAAACCTGGAAGCACTGGACGGCCGTTTCGTCCTAGTATGGGACTCCTCAGCAGTGCGCATCCACGACCCCGCACCACCCGGGGCTCGAACCCAGGACCTACTGGCTTCGCGCGCGAGCACTTAACCACAGACCACTGAGCCGGCATCCAACGGTGTTAATGTCTAACTTCAACCAATCCACGAAGTTGCGCCACCGTACACCATTGTCTTCAGTGAGTTCCTATCTCACAACAGACCTGGTTGAACTCCACTGGTAACGGCTTCTCACTAGAACTTCGGGAGTTTTTCCTGAAGTCAGTCACTAGTGAGCAGTTGGTGTACGGTGGCGCAACTTCGTGGATTGGTTGAAGTTAGACATTAACACCGTTGGATGCCGGCTCAGTGGTCTAATGGTTAAGTGCTCGCGCGCGAAGCCAGTAGGTCCTGGGTTCGAGCCCCGCGTGGTGCGGGATCGTGAATGCGCACTGCTGAGGAGTCCCATACTAGGACGAAACGGCCGTCCAGTGCTTCCAGGTTTTCAATGGTGGTCTAGCTTCAACTGACTCATGATTTCAATCTGAAATTTCTAAAATCTCCACAAAACCCATTCTTATATTATATGTTTACGTAGGTGTATCTGAGTGTGTGTTTATTGTTTACGTGTTTACCATGTTCCCTCCTAATTTTATTTTACTACTTTTATATAAAATGTTTATCTGTAGTTGTTAATTGAGTGCTGTCTATCTTGAATACATATGTTGTCTTGTATTTGTTTTCTTATGTTATTGTCGTGTATGTCGTTAAATTTCTAGTATTCTTTCAATGTTGTTATTGCTCAATCATCTCGTAGAGCTTCTATTCAGGACCAATCATATTCTCTGGAAATATATCTTCTTCGATACTTGATCAGTCTTTTAGCAACAATCCTATGGAAGATTCAGTGTCATATCTAGTTTCAGGGGCATTCACCTCAATTAATCATCGTAATGATTTCACTGATACTCACAAGAAACGCCAATCAAGAATAGATATTTTCCAAAGTATCCAAAAATGTTTGTTATCAAAAGCAAATAGTTCTATTGATAAACGTCATCGAATAATTACAAAGTATTATTATACAGATGTTAAAGTTATTAATTCACTACTAAAAGTCAGAATTAATGAACTTAAATTTGATAATAATGATAACCTGAACGGATCATATAAATTTAGAAAGATTTCTCGTCAACATTGACTCGCACGTCATCACCATCGTGATAATCTTATTTGTTGCCTGAGGTTAAGAACTTCAGTCAGCTGAAAACTACTAGTCCCTTAGTAGCTGTTTGTGAGTGAGTTTTTAATATATTGCTTGAATTTATGTATACTATATCTCATATTAGAACTGTTGTTTATATTTTACTCCTTTTTGTGGTAATATTAGATTTTCTATGTGTAAGTGTTTCAGTATTCTCGCTGGTTCTCTATGTACAATGTCCTCATTTGCATAGGTTTAGTAAACATGGCTGATCTCTATGTATTCATTTGATGTACATTAGTAACTGCTATTACCACTGGTTAATTACTAAGACTTGCACTTTTCAGTTTTCCCATAATATGTGTTAATGGTTAACTTATATTCCTTTTCTCGCATACATAATAATATATTATGAATTAGAATAATAGTTCAGCTGGCTCAACTTCGTTGGCTAATACATGCATTATAAACAATCAGACAGCTTTGAAAAACGTCCACTCAAATTCAGATGCTGCACAATCGAGTGAGTCATCTAGTACCGGTTATACAACACGCTATGTATTATCAAGAACTACAACTGTCAAAAGTGAATTGAAACGTGCCAAGTCCCAAGGTCAGTTGGTTGATTAGTAAATATGTATTATGATAAATAACGTTTCTGTATTATTTGTTGTTTTATTATTTACCTCTCTGAATGCCTTATTGTCCCTGTGCTGTCTTAAGTCACTCTCATTTAACCTTGATCATTTCATCAATCGTAACGATTATATATGAAGGTTACATTATTTTCAGTAACAATTCGAAAGACAGTGGTAACGATAATATGTACCTTTGTTGTTAAATTGATAATAAAATGTTAAACGTTGATTCACAGCCGAAGACCTGATTAATTAATACGAATTACTTATATAACATGTGTACAATTTTCAATAAGTTACGTTTTTTCATTGGTGATGCATAACTTACTCGAATTCGCACTGTTATTCAGTACAATATACACTCATATGAAATATAAGTACAATTTCCCAGACGAATTCATTGCTTAAACTTGACCTTTTTGTTCGGTTGACTATACAAAATTCAGTACCGAAAGATTGAAGTGTATTGGTGTATAATTATTTGATTTGGTTTTCTTCTCATATTCCTTATCTTTTGTTGATTAGTCTCTGGATTAAAATGTGTGTAGTAACTTAGTTCACTCCATTGTGCTGCGTTCAGTTTAATCAGTAGTTTGTTTTAACATACATATCAACAACCTAAACATGACTTCTCTTCGACAGATTTGCCTGTTCATTCCTCTCCTAGTTTGTAATTTTACCAATCCTTTGAAATATCCTCAAATAGATTCTCTGTTTATTAAGTATGCATTCGAGTAAACATTGTGTCACAAGTAGAGAGAAAATGCATGATAAATTTATTTTACAGTCATACCGTTTCATTTCCCGTACAAAGACTATTTCTAACAGAGGAACCTTTTACATGTAGTATAATTATAAGCAACCTAACTGAATTATTTGTTGTATATACATCCATTTATAATAGTGGTTTTGGCCTGTCGAACAAATCAATCATCTCGTCAACAAGGACAAACGTCTAATGCACAAAACACTTCTTCAGGTTGTTTGATTTTACCGTATTCTTTGTGTTGGTTTATGTGTGTCTGCTAGTGTGTATGTTGTTGTTAAATTACCAGCATTCTCGTGATATAAAAGATTTAAAGTTTCTCCAGTCGATTCGTAAATCTTATATTGAGATTTTTGGTGGGGAACTTCTTAGCGTACTCAATGAATGATCTAATAATTCAAATGAATCTTTTTAACTACATTTTTATGTGAATATGTATATCAGTTCTTTTATCACCACTTTATTTGCTGTTTACACGTGCTGAAATTTTTAATCCATTAAGGTTGGGTAAACAGATATTTAAAACTTTTCCACTTCATAATTTCTTTCGGTATTTTAAAATGCATGATGAGCTTTATCAAGGTTACACTATAATTGTGCTAATTTATTCGTGAATGGGCAAAAATTTATTATTTTCATTGAAGCATACAGTAATATTATTTGGACTGGTTTATAATATTATTCGTTTTCCTTTTTGAGTAGCCGAAGTTATTTTTTGCATTAAGTACAAAGGGTTTTTCTCGAGTTGGTGAGCTGAAATTTTAACTAATAAAAGTTACGGTTAGATTAACACTGCACTGTAATTCTTCATTAAGCTGTACTCGACTACATAGGATTAGATATCATTCGATTTCACTGATATTGGTGCTTTATTTAGACTGTCTTCATGATTAAAATAAATCTACTGTGCAAATCTTATTAATAACATTTTAAATACTAGTCATTTTATGTAGAACGAGATATAAGTATTTATTTTTAAAGTCACCTGGATAAAATTTTCATGTTCGTTCACTGCTATGCCTTAAAGATTTCTCGTGCGTTTTGGTGTTCTATCCAGGAAACTCTTCAGTCATATTACGTCAACCAGGTATTATTTAAATCGATGAATAATTAGAAATCTGGAAAGAAAATGTAGATGTTTTTAAGTTCATTTTCAGATGTATACTTATCATAAAAAACTAACTGCTTTATGAAATAATGACACTCATTAACTGTATTGTTATCGTTCCTGGTGATCTTAGCAACGGGGATGGGATACTGTCATCATTTCTCTTATTACGATCCAGCTGCTCTTATTGCTTAATATTCTTGGGCACTACTTCACTCGGAAGGTCTCCAAACCAGAACACTGTTGAACAGGAACGTAATTATATTCCAAATAAAAAGGTTGAATGGAAGTAGGAATCACAATAAGATAAACGTTAGTATACTTATTGTCCTTACATAGGAAGATTCTAGAGCCTTCTCCAAATGTCCACTAGCAGTGACCGGATAAGAATCAGTGTACCCCAACAAAATCCTTTACGGAATGTGCTTTAATCCAGTCTACATCCAGCTAACATCTAACCTAAGAAGCATAATATTTATCGTATACAAATAACTTGAGGAATATTCCAAATCTGAAGGTTCATATTCTCTGGTTAACAGTTAGTCTATGGTAGAAAACTTTAGATATTCCTGATAAGCTATACCAGTAATAAAGTCCTATCTCTTACTTCTTTGAGTTTCTATTCTAATCCAGCGAGTAAAATAACTGTACGCCTATTTCTCTTTTTTGTATTTGGATGGTTTTTTCTGATCAACCATTTTAACAAGTGTTATCTTTTCGGCAGTTACTCATATTGTGTCATTTAACATCTTGTTCGTGTCCAATTTTTTTACACATTATGTAATGCTTTTACTATTTTCAACTATCTAATATTTTACGCAAAATTTTTTATTCATATAGTAACATTAGCTTATTTTTAATCACTTTAAGTAACCGTAGACATTTCATTTCCATAAACAGGTGTGTTGTATGTAAAAGCAGTTATATTTATTCCGTATATGTACATATATACATGACTAACTTTTATTATCGAATATTTTTCTGGCTTCGTAGGCATGTGTATTGTTCATTTTTTACATTAATGGATTGATAGTTCATTGTTCGTCCTGCTGAAAGTTATTCTTATGGTCATCTTTCCACTAATTTTAAAAATTATTTTCCCACTTTCGACGTGATATACGTCCATACTACTTATATTCCATATGAGCGTCTGAAGTAATGTATATTCATATTTGTATCATTGTTTTTTCTGCTAACTGGTGTGTTTGCAAGAATATGCTTCGTTTTTTTTGTGATATTCCTTAATGCTGTTATCATGTTTGTGTTAATAAGGTGCATGTTATATATCAATATCTGAATGAACTGGAAGTCTTACATCTTTTTTTCTTAATTCCTTTCTCGTTTGTTTTCATGTGCGTAAAAATCACAGAAAAGTGCTCCGATCTTTCACAGTTTTCACATCCGGGAAGTTTAACCGCAAGTTCTAGCTCATTAGATAATCTAAACTGTGAGACAATTAAAACAATTTTATTCAGTGAATGGATATCCCCTAAACAAGGTACGTTTTATTCATAAAGTTTGTGTGAAAAGAATAGTAATTTTTTGTAATATCTTACCTTTCCTCATATATTATTCTGTATCCTATATATAGACTTACATTTTGTCCCAAATCTCTGGATCGGGACATCTCGTGGATGTGTCCTTGCTTTGAATCTAAAGTATCGAGTATTGAATAATGTCCCAATCAATCACTCATATTGTATTGGTAATTCCTGTTCCTTTTTCTATTAATAGTACATTTTCTGCATTGATATGTGTTTACGTTTGTGATTTGGATAAATAACGCTACATTATATTTTAATTTTTCATTATTCATATTAATGTATGCGTTGTTAGTGCTAATTAACTTTGACTTGAGCTCCAAATATGATACCTTCTTATATATGTAGAAAAAGAGCTCTTCCTTCATATCTTGCAGGTACACTTTTTGAATGAATACCGATAAAAGAGAAACGTAGATCAGTCAGCTAGTAATCGATTCCAGCCAAAAATGTCATGAGTCAACTTGATTTATTGAACACGTTACGAGCCCCATCAATGATTTCGAGTGAACATCAAAAAATGAACAATATAATAAATAATGTAATACTATTGGACGACTAGAAATCTGCATAATTACTTAGGGGAGTCATTAAATCTAACAGCATATCAGTTCTTATCGCAAACATCGAGATAGGTGATGAGAAAGAGAAATTTGCATGTTGTTAAACTAGGTGAGAGGAAGCAAAAGTGATTAGTAAGCATATTTGATGTAGAAAAAATCACAGCGATATGTCATTGACCCACTGTGCTGATAAAGCCTTATCTAGTTAGCGCGATTATACTTTCTTTTGTTTGGGGACGTTATTCTTTTACATGCAAAATAATATTTCGCAGGAATTAGGTTGTAAAAGAAGCCTTGGACAGATGATTTTGTCTGTGTTTTAGTTCAGTAACAACTAACCCCATTTACTCATTTTAATTGATAATCCCTAATATCAGTCCTCTGAACACTAGATAAATAATCTATATGAATTTCCTTCTTAGGTTTCAAGGGATTTAATTATAGCTAACTGATATTTGGTGTTTTTGTTCTGAAAATACTGATTAATCTCTATGATGTAATGTGAAAACGAAGTGTTATGATGCTGTTAATCGTAGAATAGCTATCCTTAGTCGTTAAAGTACTATAATAATGATATAACATATTCTAAAAATAATAATTACAGAATTCATGACAGTTTATACAGGCATGATCAGTTTGATTTAGATACTAATATTAAGTGTAGAGAATACATGGAAAATTAGATTGTTGCAAGTTTTCTCGTTCAAAAATTGTTTAGATAGTACATTTGTCAAACGTATTACAACAATGAAAAGCATCAGCTGAAAACTGTTAATTCTTTGAATGTGAACATCCTGTTGATGTATTTAAGGTCATTCTTGGCGCCATAACAAATTGATTATAACCATCTATAACTAGAAAAATTAAAATGGAAACAGAAAGCACTGAGCAACGAAAGCAATAATTACTACGATAGGTCAGTTAGGTCTACCATAATACATGTGCCAGGTTATTTTATGATATACTGTTCGTGTTAGATATTTTTCAAATTAGTTAGTTACACTTACGTTGTAAGTGTAAAGCAACAACAGATAGGTAGGTTTACTTAGTATATTCAGTAATAAAAACAACTAAACATTTAAAGGTCCTATAATCTCACTTCTGGAATAAGATACAATAACAGGTGTAAGGTCGTTTATAACATTTTCAGAGAAGTAAGCATCGATGTAGCAAAGGATAAGAGTGTCTATAGAAAAGAAGAATTGAATTTTCTACTTTTGAGCCATTATGAAATGCTAACAACTCTTCATTAATATTTTTCTTTGATTTGGTTAAAAAATATACTTATTTGTGCAACTGACGTGAAATCGTTTGACTTAAAAAACATTTCTGTATGTGTCAATTTGTTACGATATTTAGCTGGTATAAATAATTCGTTAGGTTTACTAAACCTGTACGTTTCAAGAGGTGTGCAGGAATATAAACAAGAGATAGTGATCAGATAGAATGTGTCAATGGCATCTACAAGACTATTGCTTAAGTAGAAGGTATCCCAGTTTGAGAATCTTGCCGGGGAGTGCAGAAGGTCCCAGTCAGCATGCCTATAGTCTCTATATGAATGGGTTTTCCGTATGGGTTTGTTATAAAAAAGACAAATAGGGAGAGCACCAACTACTGTGTTATTGTCACTACTTTCAAATTGATTGTATACTTGTGTAGACAGTAGGATGATATCTCTACAAAATATCAGATCAAGTATATTACCATTCATTGTTGAGATGCAAACCCACTGTGACCAGCAGTGTATGTTAATTGACGCTGAGAATTCACCATTACATGACTGACAACTACCGGTATTCCAGCTTATCCCATGGTAATTAAAACATCCTGTAATAAACTTCGTATTGAAATTTAAAGTAGATGTATGTATCAATGCATTAATAATGAGATCATTCACATTATCCGAGCTACTTTCTTGCTCTGTCCACTTGTGTGAAAAAGGTTACTCTGTTCACGTCACCAGATAAAGTAGAAAAGTATGGTGAGTGAATAAACGACAAGGAATATTGGACATTTATCTCACTTAACTAATTACCTAAATCCTGAACTGTTTTATTGATTTTCTTTCAAATAACTATGTACCAGCTTAAATGGCATGTGCATCTCTTATATGTCTGCATGTCATATTGGTATGCATGTTTGTATATCTATCCTATATCTCTGTATGCAAGTTGATTACTTGTTAAATAACTGTCAATTTTAGTTGATTAGTAGAATCTATCTTGCATTTATGCTCAATGTTAATATTGATTTTCGTCTTCAATCTGCACACACAAAAGCAATGTTATGTATACACATATATTATTGAGCTTGAAATCTTTCTGAACTGAAATATAGAAAGTTCATTTGTATTGGCAAGCTAGCAAAACTAGCTATCTAACTTATTCGTTTTATTAAGACATCGGTCTTTTTTCTCATGATGAAATAATTTTATTATAGAATACCCAAGTATATATTGACTACTCTTGTTTAATCACTAAATTTGTATTGTATTTTGGAATGTCTCGCTACTTTCTGTTTATCCGAAACTAATAAGAGAGTATTAAATACTTAATATTTAAATTACTTACTGTGTTTTCAGTTGCTTGTCCATTCATCCAATGCTTGGATTTTAATTAATCCATAAGCTTGTAACAGTATTTTATTGAGACATCGGGCAGATTAACTAAATTGTAGTTCAATCTAGCAACTCTTAAATAAACTTTGTTATATTTTATTTAACACTTGAATTCATGAACTGATTCAAGCTAGACCACCATGGAAAACCTGTAGGCATTGGACGGTCGTTTCGTCCTAGTATGGGACTCAGCTGTGCAGATCCACGAATATATAGTATAAATATTTTCATCTGGGTATTTTGGTCTTTTTTACTGTCCATAAAATACAAATGTTTAACATGAATATTTGTAACCAACTTATGTATGTGATAATTAATAATAAAGTGACATCACGGTTTTCGATGGGAAATACGTAATCTTAATCCGATCCAAAAACCAGTCAGCAATATTTGTCATGATTTCTGAACGATTCTTCCCTTCTTTCAGCTAAAACCAGAGGACTGAATTTATCGATTAAATTTATCTTGTTAAAGAATTATTTCAGTAGCTCGATAGACTAATTTTGTCAAAATGTGAATCAAATATACCTCTATCTTACATTCTGTCAAACAAGTCTTAGTTAGGTTTCTATTTTTCATTTAGAAAACATGAACGTTCATGTGTCTGAAATTCGTAGTTCTCACTGACACATCAACTAGATAAACATTTTACAGACTGGAAAATATGATTATCAGATTTTAATAAAAGTATTAATAATTGGAATATACTTTTTTTAAAATAACTGTCTGTAATCACTTACCACTCATCAAATTGATGTATTATTTTAATTCGTTAACGGAAAAACTCGGTTCTAGGCATAAAAAGGACTAGAGTGGAATGATGTTGAATGCTTTTAGCAAATTTACTGGGTCCAACTCGACAATGTCCATTTAAGACATTTTCGTTTACTTGAAGAGTCAATTTATAAAATTACAATTATATACATTTCTCAATAGGATTTTAACTGTGATCCTACGTTAACTAACATCGAAATATATGGTCATTGAAGATTTGCTACAATTTTATCAACTAGTAAGCCTATGTTAAAAATCTAACCATCTGAATTTAATATTCTGTGTTGATTAGTCTTTCTAAATGGAATAATTCCTCGAAGGCTCCAGTAATACACATTTCTCCAATCTTTTCATTTCTATCTACCCTTTGCCAATAATGTGCGCGTATATGTGCTTCTTTTAAGCAAACACATAGAGGTCAAAACTAATATAAGTAACCTTGTAATATTACTGGCTTATATCTGTAATGTATAGACTACAAAGATGCTTAATGAGTGTTGTCACAGGCCTGTTGCCACACCCGTTCAGAAATATTGCGGATTTTTAAGACTAATCGCAATAAATACTCTAGAAATTTCTACTTATTTATTTATACTCTTTATTTTAGCTTCTTTGTATCGTTTACGTGGAGATATTATTCACATTAGCCTGTTGGATAATACCGGTGATATTTTACCGAGTCCTTCTGAGCGTTGGGATGATTCATTTATTTTCAAAGGTGGTGCTGCCTCTGAACTTTCGAAACAAGCATCTCTTATATCTTGTTCATCCATATGTTCTGAAGGAACTTCTATGTATACTAATGCTGACGCATATAGTTCAACTGATACTGGTTTCAAGTCTTGTGGTGGTGGTGGTGGCAGTGTTCGAGCATTGAAAGAGTCAGTTATTCGACAAAATACAGTCACCACACATACGTCTTCAACATCAACATCGGGTCACTCTAGTAAGCACACAAATATCGTCTTTTCTATATCTTATAATACTAATTGTTGCATATTTTATATTTGTGTTTCGGACGTATTTCTCATATTAATCTCAGTCGTGGGATAGCATTCCTTTTCAACGTCTATGTTTTGTTCCTATTAATAATAACTGACTGACGATGTGAATTTTTGCTAGAACAGTTGACCGGTCTCTTGACAACCATTTTTCATCGTAAGATAAGTTTAGACATTTATCTAGTTTGTCTTAATATATCAAATTAAGATTTTAATTTCTAACCGCCTATTTATTAATTTCAAGATAACTCTATAAAACTATAAATCCACATCAGTTGAATGAGTGGTAAGGTTACTAAGTACATTCCCCAAACCTGTCTCACCACACTTATTTAGCCACAATTGTACGCCGATAGTTTACGCATCAAAGATTCCAGTGTTTTCATAATTAATATTGGTTTGGGTGATAGATATTCTAAGCTCCAATCAACTGATTGTTTAGTATAGCTACTATTTTATTATTACGCAAATTGCATTCGTTAAAGAATCTGTTTTTTACTTCTCGCAACATCTCTTAAGTTCAAGTGTAGTGTTGATTGGTTATTTTCGGCCTATATTTAGTTGTAAAGAAGTTATATATTATCAGTTTAGAAAATTTGATCTTAATTTATATTAAAACTACTAGTTTTCTATTGTTCTTTCTCTATGAATTCCAAATTTCATAATTAGCTAGCGTTCACTGGGGATCAGCGAAACTCACTGGACCCAAGCTGGACAGAAAAGACTAGCTACGGGAGAGATGCTGCTATACTCCGGTCACGAAGAGGAAAATGCTCCACACACTCAGGGAGTTGCTCTAATGCTGTCCAAAGTAGCACGAAATGCACCTGTAGGATGGGAATCCCACGGATCCAGAATCATCAAAGCATCATTCAAAACAAAGAAGGAGGGGATCTTAATGAATATTATCCAATGTTACGCACCCACCAATGATAGCAACGACGACATTAAAGATCAGTTCTACGAGCGGCTGCAGTCAGTCATTGAGAAATGCCCAAGAAAGGACCTCACCATTCTAATGGGAGATCTAAATGCCAAAGTCGGAATAGACAACATCGGATATGAAGATATTATGGGGCAACATGGACTGGGAGAGAGGAACGAAAATGGAGAAAGATTTGCAAATTTGTGTGCATTCAACAAATTAGTCATAGGAGGCACAATATTTCCACACAAGCGTATACACAAGGCTACATGGATCTCACCGGACCACACTACAGAGAACCAGATAGACCATATTTGCATCAACAAAAAATTCCGAAGGACAATGGAAGATGTGAGAACCAGGAGAGGAGCTGACGTAGCTTCAGATCACCACCTAGTTGTAGCCATTTTGAAACTGAAGCTAAAAAAGAACTGGACAAGTGGACAAACAGCAATACAAAGGTTCAATACAGCCTTCCTTCGAGATACTGTCAAACTCAATGAATTCAAGATAGCTCTCAACAACAGGTTCCAAGCCTTACAAGATCTACTGAAAGAAGAAGAAACTACTATGGAGGACAACTGGAAAAGCATCAAGGAAGCATTAACTTCAACGTGTCAAGAGGTTCTCGGTCTAAAGAAATACCATCATAAGGAATGGATCTCTACAGAAACACTGGACAAGATCAAAGAAAGGAAGAACAAGAAGGCAGCAATAAACAACAGCCGAACACGAGCAGAGAAAGTCCAAGCACAAGCTGAATACATAGAAGCAAACAAACAAGTGAAGAGGAGCATTAGAGCCGACAAGAAGAAATACGTGGAAGAACTAGCAACGACGGCAGAAAAAGCTGCTAGAGAAGGAAATATGAAACAACTTCACGATACAACGAAGAAACTAGCAGGGAATTACAGTAAACCAGAGAGGCCGGTCGAAGACAAAGAAGGCAAGCCAATCACCGAAATTCAACAACAGCGTAACAGATGGGTAGAATACTTCGAGGAACTCCTGAATAGGCCGGCTCCAATGAATCCAGTGGACATCGAAGCAGCACACATAGATCTTCCTATAGATGTCAATCCACCAACTACGGAAGAAATTAGAATGGCCGTCAGACAAATCAAGAACGGGAAAGCAGCAGGACCCGACAACATACCAGCTGAAGCACTGAAATCAGACATCGAAACAACCACAAGCATGCTTTATCTTCTATTCAAAAAGATTTGGGAGGAGGAACAAGTGCCAATGGACTGGAAAGAAGGGCACCTCGTCAAGATTCCAAAGAAAGGAGATCTGAGCAAATGTGAAAACTACAGAGGCATAACACTACTGTCAATACCAGGGAAGGTCTTCAACAGAGTTTTGCTGAACCGGATGAAGGATGCAGTAGACGCTCAACTTCGAGATCAACAAGCTGGATTCCGTAAGGATCGGTCGTGCACAGACCAAATTGCAACACTACGGATCATCGTCGAACAATCGGTTGAGTGGAACTCGTCACTATACATCAACTTCATTGATTATGAAAAGGCATTTGACAGTGTAGATAGGAGGACATTATGGAAACTTCTTCGACACTACGGAATTCCTGAGAAGATTGTCAATATTATCCGGAACTCATACGACGGACTACAGTGCAAGGTCGTGCATGGAGGACAGCTGACAGATGCATTCCAAGTAAGGACCGGGGTCAGACAAGGCTGTTTACTCTCTCCCTTTCTCTTTCTTCTGGTGGTCGACTGGATTATGAAGACCTCGACACGGAATACAATGGACAGCTCAGAACCAATTAGACGATCTGGACTTCGCAGATGACCTAGCTCTTATATCACGTACACACGAACAGATGCAGATGAAGACAGCCAGTGTAGCAGCAGTCTCTGCATCAGTAGGCCTCAGTATACACAAAGGGAAAACGAAGGTCCTCAAATTCAAAGCGGAAAACAGCAATCCAATCACTCTTGATGGCGAAACTCTGGAAGATGTAGAATCCTTCACATACCTGGGAAGCATCGTCGATGGACAAGGAGGTTCAGATGCAGACGTAAAGGCGAGGATTGGCAAAGCAAGGGCCGCATTCCTACAATTGAAGAACATATGGAATTCAAAACAACTTTCAACCAATATCAAAGTGAGAATCTTCAATACGAACGTCAAGGCAGTTCTACTGTATGGAGCTGAAACTTGGAGAACTACAACAACCACAATCAAGAAAGTACAAGTATTTATAAATAGCTGTCTACGCAAGATACTCAACATCCATTGGCCAGATACCATCAGCAATAGCCTTCTGTGGGAGAGAACAAACCAACTTCCAGCTGAAGAGGAAATTAGGAGAAGACGATGGAAATGGATAGGACATACATTACGCAAATCGTCAAACTGTATCACGAGACAAGCCCTAACTTGGAATCCTGAAGGGAAGCGGAAAAGAGGAAGGCCAAAGAACACATTACGTCGGATAATAGAAGCAGATATGAAAAGGATGAATTACAACTGGAAGGAGCTGGAAAGGATTGCCCAGGACAGGGTTGGATGGAGAATGCTGGTGAGCGGCCTACGCTCCTTCACGAGGAGTAACAGGCGTAAGTAAGTAAGTAAGTAGCGTTCACTGACTTCCTGTCAAGTAATTGATAACTATCTGAACCTTGGACAAAGTATGGATAAATGTTCCAACCTAGTTTGTCTATTTTATTGTGTTTGTCATGAGGCATAAAGATTTTGGATTCTATACCATGTAAACCTATAGAACCTGAGGCATCACAAACTAGGACGAAACGGCTTTACAATAACTCCTATGGTTTTTCATGGTTCCGGAATTTTACCCTAAACTGAACTAATTACCACTTATTTTTACAACGAAAATTGAGATTCGTCTCCTGATTGAGACGAAAGTGTCAATCACTACAACGATGCACTCAGGATACTAAAAGGGTACTTTAAAGAAAGTTCACCTTATTTTATGTGTCTACGTGAAGTATGTTTAGCGTGTTGTTGCATAATACTGAAATTCTGCAAGTCATCAATTTTGGTTTGTTTTATACTTTCTTCAGGTACTATACTATCCAATACTATGAGCGGTGGTGTCAGTACATTTCAGTCAAGTGGTACAACTGGACTTGATTCTCCTACAACATCCAAAGGTTTTATCGAGTGTGACCGACAGCTGGTTGTCCTTTGTTCGGAAAAGCAAGCTCGAGTAGTTGCACTTCCTTCACAAAATTGTCTTTATAAGGTAAAACTACTCTTATTTGTTGCAGATAGAATTCCATCATGTTTAGTTTTAAACTAGGTCCACTAACTTCATTCCTTTTGGATACTATTTTAATCTTTTTTTTATACAGGTAAAAATAACTGAAACAAGTCAAGTGGTACGTGCTTCCGTACAACGTTTGAGACCATCGCATAATAGCGGAACATCAACGGCTAGTTTCCTCGCATGTTATCTTGCAAATGGACATTTTGTTGCCTTCTCATTACCGAGTTTACGTTTACTAATGGATGTGGATTATTTACCGTATACAGAATGTGTAAGCCGTTCGTTTGCATTTGGTCAGTATGGTCAATCTGTGTATTTGGTGTCGCCCTCAGAATTAGCTAAAATCACCTGGGCATCAGATGTTTGGTAATTCCTGTTTTTTTGTATTCATTAATGTTTCTCATCATTATGAATATTTTTGTCATGTTTTATGACATGTGAATTTATGTATGTGTTTAGTCTCTTCAGTTGTGCTTATTTTCACAGCAATTGAATATATATAAATATAAGTGGAAATTCCATAAAACCCAACTAGCTCAACAGTTTATGGTGATTTATAATGAGGTAATAATATTCTGTAACCCAATATAACTGCAAAGCTAACGGTCCTTACTATTCATTTTTGATATCATGATGTGTATTACGACTATAATTTTTATCTAGGTTTCTGTCTCTGAGCCCCATTAGTTAAACTTTTGACTTAGATTTCTAACCCGTAAAAAACTACTGATTTCATAGGATGCATCTTATCATTCGTCAGTTCATTCAGAATGGTGGAGTTTAATGTCAACTACTGCTCTAAAATCACGTTTTTCGGCTCATTAATGCGAAACTTCCTTATCCACTTATTGAGAGACACTCTCACTTTTGACATTCTCATTTTAATTTGGAAACCATTTACCTAGAGTAAATACATTGGTTGAGTGTTACTAATTGAGTAGACTTGTCAAGTCAGATACCCAAAAGCTTCATATTCTATTGTCAAATTCTTATGATCATATTGTTCGTTTTCAAAAAGTAGTTGTCAGTACAGTTTAATTTTAATTGGCTGCACACTCCTTACACCCACACATATTTAAAAAGCTGAATGTTATGACTATTGATTTTAATAATTATCATGATTACAAGAAGGTTTTTTTAACACAAAATATATTGCTATTATTAAATGACTCTGAGCAAACCAGGTAACAAGAGGTAGGATTCTTTTTGGCTATGAATTGTTAATGTCAATGGGTTTTTCCAACTGATTATTACTCAATATTTAACAATACGGTTGGGTTTTTTAAAGCTGCACAATAGAGACGACTTTAAGTTTTGAGTAAATGGTAAAATATTCCCTTTGTCACTATTGATTATCAAATATATTCCTGGCTACACTCAAGTCCTTGGTTTATGGTCCCGAGTGATAAGTGAAACATTAAATTAACGTACTAGTTTCACTTTAAAGGCTACATAATTCCAAATGCTAAAAATATTCTTTTACAAATGTTTCCTTAGAACAGTTTACCGTAAATATTTCTCATATCTTGCTCTATTTTTTGACTTACAGTGCGAATTTACGTGATATGCAAGGTGAGATATTTCTACCAAGTAATATGCCAGAACCTCCTAAGAAAAACTTTTTCAAAAATTTGTTAAGTGGAACTTTGGTATCTTCATTAGATCGAGATGAATTGTGTAAGTTTGACCATATTACTACTTCCTGTCACAGTTCTTTTGCTGAGTTCTCATAATTTTATTTCATATACCGTTCATACTATTCTTTTCGTAAACCACTGATAATTATTTAGCCTGCTCTTATTTCAGATTGTTTTCCATAATCAGTCGACTTTCTTTTGTTTACAATGAGTTATCCTACCTTCAGTTTTTGAGTAGTACATCTTTTGGCATAGTGAGACTTTATCGACAATCTCAATGTCTTTTGTCACTAATATTTAGAGTGATCATTTTGTTTCGTATCATATTTACGAACTCATACAATAGGTTTTAGGCCAGATTCGTTCAGTGAAACTAAGTGAAAACTTCGGGTTGCACTGGATATAGAGTGAAGTTAGCAAAACCTAAAATCATAAATTAACTCAAATAAATGATTGTAGTTGCCTTAAAGTGTATTCAAATTATTCAGGTTGTAAATTGAAGATGATTTCTTTATTGAGATGAAGCAAATTTGAGTTACCATTATATATATATATATATATATATATATATATACTGAATGCTTTTAACGAACGTCTTCTGACTAACTTTTGCGAAATTAATGTTGACAAGTTTGCTTATGCGTGCCAAATTGGTAAATAGAAGCTTTGTTTATCTGTAGATTACATTTGATACGATAACTGCATTTACATGTATATATGCTACGAAAAAGTTTATCTCAATTGGGATATGACAGGGAAAACTAGTAAATTATTCCTTCCCTTACTACATTTTGCATTCTTCATTAGCCATTTATTGTGAAATGAGTCATACTATCTGGGTTGAAAGCAGTTTTGATTTCCTAATTTTCTCTAGCGGTTTAGTTTTCTGAAGTGAACCCGGTTAGGGTTTAGGCACTCCAATAATTTTATCAATTGATCGCACCGTTGTAACACTATCATTTCCCAAGTTTTTGCATCAAACAAGGGTTTCGCCTATCACTTAAAATTAAATGGGTCATTTTAAATTTTGTCTGACATTTCAGTCAGTTTCTCATTCTTGAAACACTTCCGTCAGCGTTTAAGCAGTAGTAATAAAATGTTTACGTAGTCAGGACTAATTAAAGATTTGTGTGTGCCAATTTTCTCATCTTCAATTTGATTTTATAACTAAGAGTTAACCATTTCGATCGTGGTAAGAGTATCAGATTGAATAGTTGAAAGAGTTAATGAATCAACTCAGACTACCTTCGATTGTTATATTTTTTGGCTCAGTAAAATTGTTATTTGCACACTTAAAGTGACATTTACCATATGTCATTTAACTAAAAAAGGTCGCATGCAAGCCTAGTAAAAGTATATAATCGGATAACTATCGTAAGAAATATTTAGACAAGCAATTTGTCTTCGGTAGGAAGAAAATGCTTTTATCAGTATTGTTCATTTTGTGGCAGCTTTTACCAGTCATAGAAAGTGCAAAATCAAGCTTGAACTAATTTCTGCATATATAAATATTCTGGAGTAAATCAGATTACAATAGTAGATATAGTGGCTATGCTCGAGATAAAAGTGGTTTCAGTTAAGTTGACAGTAAGTCTGCAAGTTGGAAATAATCAACAACTGTATGTTTAGTAGAATTTCGAACACCGAGTGCTAATAAAAAAGATTAGACACCGAAGATACGACTCGAAAAGAAAATACAAATAAATGGAATAAGACAAAGATTTATGAGCAATTTAGAATCTCAGGATTTGAGGAATGACAAAGAATGGATACACCTGCGCCGTTGCAAACGATTTTGAGCCATGTCATTTAAAGTTTCTAACCATTGGTTACGATAATCACGCAAAGGATTAGTTGTGAGGATAGAAGAACAATTAAGAGATGAAAGAGGGATTCAACCATCAACAAGATAGTCCCGGGTGTTTGTAGCGATAGGAGGGCGGTTGTTACTACTTGGATTTTTCTTCGTGATGGACCCCAAAAAGCTGAATTTCTGGTGGTCTTAGCGACCTGGAAACGTGACCGCAAAGCGCACAGCCTTTTATGGGAAGCTTTTGATGAGTTGGATTCGCACTTTCAAAGGCCTTACTGTCGAGGACGGAAATCCTTGGGGTAAGGTGTGACATTTATAGAGTCGACCCTTTCTAACCTGTTGCTTTCGTTACGAGAAGAGAGCATCGCTAAAGATGCTGGTTGCCTGAGTGAAACACCCTACTACTGTTACACTCCACTCCAGTCAGCAGTACAACTTCGCCCTGTGGCCCTAAGTTTCTGCTTCTAGTCTTACCGTTCTCCAACCGTCGTGTGCGCAAGATACTCAATTCCAGTCGGCCAGAAACCATCAGCAACATCCTACTGTGGGAGAGAATAAACTAGGTTCCGGTTGAGGAAATTGGGAAAAGACACTGGAAATGGAAATCACCAAACTGCATCACAAGGCAAGCGCCAACTCGGAATCTTGAAGGGAACCGGTAAAGAGGGAGGTCGAAGAACACACTACGTGGGGAACCGGAAGCAGACATGAGAAAGATGAATAGCAACTGGGAAGGATTGTCCAGGACGGAGTTAGATGGAGAATGCTGGTGAGCGGCCTATGCTCCTTGACGAGGGGTAACAGGTACAAGTAAGTAAGCTCCCCAACCGACCTACCTGGAATAGTAGGGCCTAAAGGAATATTTATTCCAAGCAATATATTCTAGTTGAGTTATCGCAATAGGTATGCCATCAAATCAAGGTAGCAGCTGCGGTCGGGCGGTTACTTATTAAAGATGTTCAAACTCAGTGTTCACTGAGCACACAACAAAGATAAGCAACGAAACACTATCTAGGTTTGTTGGCTGTAAATTACGATTACTAATCGCCTTTACTGTTCTCTTAATCATCGTTGTTATGTAATTATTGAAACATATTTGGACTTTTTTTAATATGTTGGAGCATGGTGAACATAAGCCATGCAAATTCCGTATGCAGCCGCACTTTGTCAAGCTGCATTTTACTTAGACTATTGTCTTCGAACCAAAGTTCTCATTTTCATTGATAGTCATTGTAATGAGATATTATAATGCTCAACACAGTAGTCACAAATCAACACCAGTGGATTTAGGTGGTTTATATCGTGTAACAAATACACAGAAATTCTCATTCTCTAGTTTGTTCTTGCTTTAGTTGGTGAAGCAAGTTCGGGGAAGGGGACACCTGGCGCTACTACTCTGCTACCAAATGCTCGTTTGGAAAAGTTATCTGGTCAAACTGGTGCTGCCTCTTCTGAAATTGCACGAGCTAGAAATGCTGCTATCGAACGTGGTGAGCGGTTACAGCAATTAGACCTACAAACGCAAGAGATGGCTGATCAAGCTAAAGGTTTTGGTCGTTCTGCTGCTATTCTCGCTGCCAAATACGAGAAAAAGGACAAACGCTGGGGTTTGCCATTCTAAAGAAGACTATTATTGCAGCAATTGACCCTTCCTTATTTCCCTATTTGATTGCTCTCAGGTAACTTTGTTGACTTAGTATTTCGGGGCCTACAAGATTTCGTAACTGTGTTCTATCTCACTTTAACCTATGTGCTAAAAACAATGATGAACGATATTCTACTTTCATATTGAGGACGAGTGAACATTATGTTTATATTTTCGTTCTTCGGTTTTCCTCCTTAATATATATATCTGACGTAATAACATGTACGATGTAGGGACTTACGTTTCTGTATGCTTGTGACTAATCGTCACTGTAACCGTTGTTTTTGTATTGACTGTGGATTTTGAACTTCTTATTGTATTTTCTGTTGCGTTATCAATATGTTTATATTTGAGTTATTATTTTCTAGCATCATACGGAGTTCTTGTTTGTGATGTCTTACACAATTCGTGTTGTTGGTCACCACTCTACATCCATCAGATATACATCATAAATATTCACTTGTTCAAAGGAACATAATTCCTCCTCTTGGTTAATTTAAATTAACAACTGTGATTGCTATTTTTGTTGTACTGTTGGATCATATGACAATTTTGTCTCACCACTCACTTTATATATATATACCTTCTAGTCTTCATTAGCTGAATCTTAATTATTTCATAAGCTTGTAAAAGCGTCGAACGCATTATTTCAAAATCGATCGCTCTCTTCAGAAGCTCTCTGTCACATTCATCCCTAAATTTATTGGGTCATTTTACTCATTCATTATTTTTCATTTCGTATGTTCTATTTATATCATTAAAACTTAGAAACAAAATAACAAACTTTGTCCATCGTTTTCTTTCTTATGATAGTTTCACTTAAGTTAGACAATCCAGTATACGTAAAATAAAGAAAACTCCTGATTATTAATCAATAACTGATAAGTAATCATCGTGCTTCATTTTCACATACGAAGGCACATTAACTTAAGGTAGTAATTTTTGTACTGTCTGTTTATGAGACTAAAAAATTGATGAATGAGTTACGCTCACTCAATCATATCTATGATTTGATTGGTTGTATTCAAGCTGAACCCAACTCAAATACATTTAAAACATGGTCAAACATCATTTATAAATATGATTACTACCGGCAGTGCATTTAGCTTAGCAGCAATGATCAGTTTAAAGCCAACCCTACTTGTCGTTATGATTATTTCCACCATACAGATTAGTGAAACAGCTGTGGCATCCAATCCTCGTACATTCAATTCAAATTCATGGAGAGGCAATACGTATCTCGTATCCTATCCAGCCTCAGAACGTTCACCATATGCGATGGCACGGCAGGATCAGCAAACGAATCTCCCGGGTCCTAAAACAAAATACATCAACCGTTACTCCACTTTTCAGTCTGATGTACCGTCCTATCCACTATTTGTGCAACCAACCATGAATTCTGATCCCAAACAACCAACATATTTAGTTGAACAACAACCTGTACAAAGTCACACAGCTATCACGTATCCTAGTGACCAACAAATCCAACCAACTGCAACAAACACTGTTTCTGATGACGAAATGGAAATCACGCCTAGGACAATTGTTCAGAACCCACAGTACTCAGACTCTTCTATTGTTGGTGGCCCGGATGATGGAGTTATCGGGAGTAATGGCGGTATCCTCGGGAGTCCGCAAGATGTCGCGGTAGTTGAAAGTGCAGGTCAATCACTTTATTCCGGTGATATGAGACAAAACCAATATTTGTATCCTAGTCCAGTACCACCAGATCCAAGACTTTATAGTTCGCCCATGAATCCGCCTCGGTATCAATTAGATAAACGTATCAATACTGCATACTATGGGATAGGTCAATATGAACAGCCGTTGTACAGTCAAGTACCTAGAGGAACTATGCCCTCATCACAGTATACAAATGGAATTACAAGCGCTAGTATGTAAGTTCTTAAACTCCATAATATAGTTTGATTTAAAAGTCTTTGATTACTTCATTTATGGTTGGGGCAGAAGACAATTTAATTGCTTATTAAATATGAGTATGTGCATAGCGGAAATAAAATCAATAACTAGGTAGTATAAAGTAAATTTTACGTGGGTCGAAAACATTACGAAATTTCATACACTTCAAAAGTGAATTCTGAGGAGCTTTAAGATGAACTAAGTTCTACAAGTATTTGCAAGATTTTGAGTGAAATTTTAATAAAATGCGTAGTTTGGGGAAAATGTATTTACAGTAAGTGTGCAAACATAACGATAGTTAGGTGAAAGACTGTTTAGAGAGTTCAAAAGTAAAGTTTATTGATTTAATGTCCAACTGATACAACCACAATTTCATCTTCTGTAGTTAGATGAATGCGCCAATCGGAAGGTTTTAATGTGCAACCATTAGAGTCATGCAACATATGCAACAGACGGTTTTGTTCTTCAGTAAGATTATCTCTGAAAATTAAGAAACAAAATCGAATGACTGTCTATATTCACTGCGAAATGGCTTTGTATGTTCATCTTTAAAATAAAAAGCTAACGGGGAAAAAATATTGGCAAAATCTAAAAGTCTTTAAAGCTAATCCAGAAAACTGTTTCTAAAATATTAACCTTAAGAAATGCGGTATACTGTACATGAATATGCTTTTCGTTCTCAAGTTAAAAGTTTACACTTGCGTAAATACTAAGTTTTACTGAAATAAAGCGGTACTACTAATCTACATAGTGCATAGAAATATTTCTGAGTGTATAAAATATCCGACTCTAACAGAACATTCTGAGAAGCTAAATGGAATGAACATTTAAGCATTATAAACATTAAATAACAAAGTCACAAAAAGAATAAAGCGGTTTAGTGGAAGAGAGACAAAAACCTGCTTCCGTATTACAATCAACATGTGACAGATTTAACTGTGATTTCTATTTCAGGTGTTAAGAAACTACTTCATCCAAATACGAAGAATTGACATCCCTAATTCATTAGAACATTGGCTTTATAAGATATGCTGCTTTAGTTAAATCAGGCCTAACGAAATAGAAAAATTGTCCGACATTGTCAAAACATATACACAATGATTTATTTATATATTTAAACCATTGGGAAATAATTGGGGTTGCAATAGGATTTCTAAGATGACTCTTCATGTTTTTCTTAAATAATGTAATTAGTAATGAATATGTATATAAGAAACAACCATTTAGCTTGAATTTAAACGTTAAAATGACAACGTACCAAGTCTAATGCTCCCTATTTTCCTTTAAAAGATCGATAATTAATTTCTACGTATTTCAACATACTGTGCGAAAAGAGGCGTACCGCAGCTTTGCGTTTCAGTATCAACCTCGTATAAGTAATTTACAAACGCAGGAAGTAGGACTTCTTCATTACAAGTGGTTGTGATGTTTTGACCGAGTATTTGGAATATCACGAGTCAGTAATAATTAATGTAAAGCCCGGCACAAACGTGGATTACCTCATATTACCATAGCGCATTAACATGAGTCAGTGAATAACAAACGAATCGAGAAAATGAAGGAGCGAAGAAAAGCCGGAAACTGAAACTACGATTCAAAAAGGTATAGCTCAAGAAATATAGGACATGAAGGACTGAGCAGAATAAGATGAATTTGCAGTATTGTAAACGATTCTAAACAGTCACCTAACTTCTTTAACAATAGTTGCAGTTTCCGTACGGTAACCACCTATGAAGCCTGGATCAGTCCTAGTTTATTAGGCGAGTCCTAGTTAACCGTCAGATTATTAAGGCCAATATTCTAGACACTATATTAATCAAACTGATTCCTCTATGATTATCACAAGAAGATTTGTACTTCCTTATACAGTGAACAATGATTAGCGATCGAGACCATTTAGATAGGATTACGTCCAGTTCCCAGGCTCTGGCTAAAATCACAGCCAACTTCTAAAGTTGAACTACTATACCTAATGATCTCCGGGATTAACTCATTAGGACCTCCTGCTTCCCCCTTTTCAAGCTTTACAAGGCCTTTTCAACACTGCTATAAGAAATCAAAGGGCGAGCTTAAAACAATTGGGATTTTTTAGCCAGTTATTATCCATCAGTATGGTCTAGAACAGAGCAAATGACATCACAAAGTGTAAACAGGCTTCACCGGATTAAATAGCTAATTCTTTGGGTTGGGATTTAGGAATATGGTTTATTTGAGGTGATAAGTACATGAAAATAATTGACCAGTTGATAAGTCTACTACTATAATCTTGCAGTGAACAATCTTAATTTTTCCTTATAATTTCCAACCTTTTGAGCACTACATTTTTATTTTTGCTGATGGTTTTACGTGATGTATGGATCTCATTCAAAAACTTAAACGGCATTTTCTTGATTTATGCTGGCCTACCTTTTCACTCTGAACTCTTTTTTTCACAAGATTGCTGTAAAATATAACCGAATTGGAATAAACACAGAATGTGTTACGTACTCTACTGTAGCCCAATTAATGTTTTTATCTGACATACTTAGCAGCTAGATAATAACAGACATAGAGATAAAATGTTTAAGGTACACTTCCTTTCTTATGAAGTATGAGATTTCTTTAAAAGGACAACGTGAAATGTAATTTTCGGCATTCCTACCACATTCCTGGAAACATGAGCAACATAATTTAAGAGAAATTTAACTTAGTAAAAAAACTGAGTTCAGTTTTGCGTGTATGACCTAGGTTAATGAAATAATTGCAGAGAAACTATATTTTTTTAATCAAGCGCTTATCATGTACACCTACATTACCTTGCATCACGTTTACGTTGACGAGCTTTAACCAGACGCTTATTTAGTGCCTGCCTTTGTAAGCGAAGGTCAGCCAGACGTTCTGCTAATTCATCACGAGCAGCAACCTTAGAACGGCGACATCGTTCGGCTGCTTGACGGTTAGTAGCTCGTCTACGTGCATCCGACATAGCTGTTAGCTGAATGTAGAAAAGAAACAAGTGAACGTTAGATTAGGAAAATACGTATATGTTCCAGAATTCATAGGAGTACACCTGTTAAATCTGAGAGTCCGGAATTCTATTTGCTTTTTAAAATAGAATATTAATTTTTATTTATTTTAACACATAGCTATTGGTACATGGAGGCACCAAATACATATGCGCCACACAAATCTCATTTGATAGGTGTGAGAGCTGTGATACTGCCCTGGTGCCCAAACCGAAGAATATCCCCATAGACTGTAAACAAATACTAAAGATAAGGTTTATAACAATGGCAAAATACATTTTTTTCTAGAAATTTATCTACCTAATTTTAGAGCTCTGCAACTGTAGGCCTCAACATACACATAGGAAAAAGCAAGATCCTTAAATACGACACGGAGAAGACCAAATCAGTCACACTTGATGAAGAAATTCTAGAAGAGGTGGGAACCTTCACGTACCTGGTCAGCATCATCGATGAACAAGGAGAATCGGATGCAGACGTAAAAACAAGGACAGCATTTCTACAGTTGAATAGTATATGGAACTCAAAATAACTGTCAACCAATATCAGTCAGAATCTTCAATACGAACGTTAAGATGGTTCTACTGCATGGAGCTGAGACATGGAGAACTACCACAATCATCATCAAAAAGGTACAGGTATTTATAAACAATTTTCTACGCAAGATAATCAATGCCAGTCGACCGGAAACCATCAGCAACAGCCTACTGTGGGAGAGAATAAACTAGGTTCCGGCTGAGGAAATTAGGAAAAGACACTGTAAGTTAAAATCACCAAACTGTATCACGAGGCAAGCGCCAACTCGGAATCTTGAAGGGGACCGGAAGCAGACATGAGAAAGATGAATAGCAACTAGGAAGGATTGTCCAGGACGGAGTTAGATGGAGGATGCTGGTGAGCGGCCTATGCTCCTTGACGAGGGGTAACAGGCGTAAGTAATTTTAGAGTTCGGGTTTTGGGGGATAGAGAAGTTGGAAATAATAGGTGACAGAGTTCAAAATCACTTATAAATATAACTAAACTTAACCTTTATAAAGTCATACATGCTTGTTTTCTCAGTTTCTCTGATTCTCATGATATGGTTTTCATCTACGTAATTGAACATTACGTCAGTGACGGAAGAAAATCAGTTTTACGTAGTTGATACATTATTTTCCACCAGTAAATTGATAGCAGTTTCAACAATTAATCTAATACGTAAGGTAACTTACCTGTTCCTCTGTTAAACCACGAGTGGCTCTCAGATGGCGAAACTCTTCATTTGTCGAATATACGACATCTTCATATGAAAATGGGACTCCAGCAACCTCAAGTACATCAATATCGCGAATATAACGATCAGATCGCTTGCTGACTGCTGAATTGGAACATGTTGAAGACGAACTTTTTTCGTAGACATTGTCTTTAGAATTAGAATAGCTGGACGAGTTTTGATGATAAAGAATTGGTGAGATAATTTGTGATTGTGTGTTTAAAGACTTATCAATGGGTTCTGAGTAGATTCTTTTGTGTTCTAACATTGAAAGTTTACTATTATCTAGTGGCCAATTACCAGACGTGTGAACAACGCTATTTGTGTCGACTAACTTCAAACTTCTTGAATTCTGGAGATTATTGTAGTGAATGAAATATTCCTGATCAAACTTATAGTCAAGTTCTGAATCAGAGCTTGAACTACACTGTACAATATTAATTAACTCCTTGTTATCATCGAGCGACCCGCGACGATCATCTAAACTGCTTGAACTTTCACTCCTTAATTGAGGATCTGTTTTTCGATGCAAATAGTTCACCGACTGTGTCATGACATCTGAAACCCATGAATTATTGTCTGATAACGGCACAGTAAAAGTGTTTCCTGAAGGTTTTAAGACCTAAATATAATTGAGGGGATTTCAAGTAAATATTTTTGCACGAACCAAAAAACATTAAAGTCATGTGTGGTGGGTTTCAAGAGGTACAAGTACAACTTGTTTGCAAAATATGTGTGTATAATATCTGCATATGATCACTTTAAAACTTAACAAACAATGGAAAAATAATATACATGACGTTAAATCTACATTCGTTTAGTCTAGATAGTTATTTAGTAACGGTGCCTATTTATAACCAAGTTTCAGAATTAGTTGACAACCGCATAAACTTGACATAATTTACCTGAAATTGTTGAATACTGATTACTAGTTTGATCTCGAATTTTTTTGTTGACTAAGTTTGCTACCGGGCTAAGAAATCTTGCAGTGCACATAAAATTCTGACAGTATTCAATGGTAAGTAGATCGTTAGTGCAACACACAACTACAATAAAGCACGCAATTAACTTTGCAATCTATAAAATAGAAATCTTAACTCAGTAAGGGTGCAATTTAAATGAAAAAAGTATACGCATACACAATCCACTAACTATTTTTGATTTAATTTTCCAATGTACATTATTCATATGCTATTTTTATTGATTCTTTAAATGAATGTGAACAAGCATGAAAGAGTACATATGTACTACTAACTGACCTGATGATGAATATTTGTATTTTCACTATAACCTGAACAATTTCTTGAACATACAGTAGAATGAGAAAGTAAATCAACTTTTGTCTCTTGAACAGAAACTTCCTCACTGTTAACTGACTCGACTGAGGAAACTTTATGACCGGACGCTGTTGGTAAACTGGAAGTCGCTTTTTCTTCATCTGAATCTAGATTGAGAGACAGCAAGGAGATAGACTGAGCATCAACTGAATCTCGGTTGTTTTGTTCAACCCATGAGTCCGTAGGGGAAATAGGCGGAAACCCCGTAGCAAACGTTGGTGAAGGACTGGAGAAACCGTTGACCGATATATCCGGATCGGCAACCACTTCAACTTCACAAGTATCAACAAATGACGAAGTCCCAGCTTTACAGTGAACTAGTGGATTCTAAAATACTAGATTTGGAAAAACGTAACTCACCGTTTTTGTAGATGCTCCAGGGTATACTGATCTGAAAAGTGACAATGGGAGATGGTTAGTCTGGAAAATAAAATGTGCTTCCTCCACGGAAAGTTCTAGGTCCATTTTATGTAAGGCTGTGATAAAGTCCTGTTTCTCAAAGTAAGTAGAAGAAATCGCATGAACCTGGGTCGATAATATCCCGTCTCGATCCGCTGGGATTGTTGATGCTTCCTTAGATGGATACTGTAAATTAGAAAAAGTCATAGTGTTTGAAACAAGTAAATGAATAAAGATGTTAGTCTGTTGACAGAATTAAAATCGGAGAAAAACTCATTTAATGCTTAAACTAAGAATTGATTCCAACTTCAGACCAACAGTTGGTGTCACATTGAACACCCGTTATGGACAGAAAATTTTTTCATCTGATATAGAGCTCGACTCATGGATGAAGACCTCATCTGCGATTGTTTTTCTCATTTAACTAGTTCTACTTTAATTCAGGTATTCCTAATAAAATGTAGATTCGAAATATTACCTCACCCTTTTTCAACGCGGTCGCAACATTTCTACTCTCATAAATTCATCCTCTACAAACTAAGGTTAAAAGGTGAGTGAAAGTCTTCTTCCATTTCCATTTCCATAGCTTCATGACTAGCCTTTCTGATCAATTCGTAAGTAAATCATTTACTCATCTGAGTCACCTTACTGGATGTTTCTCTTGACCTTGTTTAATATTTCACCATACCACTCTCCCACCACCTTTATTCTATCAGCCATGTTAATCATACACAAAAGATATATAAAATCAGTACACTAACATTGCATTCTTTGATTCCTCGTTGTCGGATACATATCTTTAATAACGCTAACAACTCATCAACTTAACACTATACGTTGATCAATGGCCTATCAAAACACATACAATCTAACTCATCACTTGGTCTTTTCCGCAAAAATACCCGTACAAACGTGAGCAAACTCAGCTACTTACACTCGGTACGCATTATTTGCGACCTATCACCTGTCCTTATAACAGAGACGGTGCTCTACTAACATTATAGACGAATCTAGTTCATTTGAAGGATATCAACCATTTAGAAATAGTAGTACATTTATTTGAGGTGGTTACATCTGTTATTTGGAAAACATCTTTTTGATGATGAATTTATGCTTACTGGGTTACCATCTGTTGACAAACCATGTCCTAAACTGTCACCGGGCTATCTATGCGCATCCCCTAATTCAAATAAACAGCTTCTCAAATTCTCTATGTCTCCGAACGTATCTCCTCGCTCTCATTTACTTGGAGGATATTACGTGACAACAATGTCCCTATAAGTCCCCGCTAAGTATAAAAAACTAGCAAAAACAATCGAATCCTACGGACGGATACAGAATGTTTTATTCCCCAAGTCGAACAAAAACGCCGTAGACCTCATATTTACATACGGTATCCTTCCGAGTACCATTCATTTTAGCTACCTGTTTACACGTGGCTATCACAGTGTTTCTCTCTTAGACATATTTCTGCATAATCCGAGTAAGCATAACCCGTCCGTCTCTTGATGTGGAAAATTCAGGAGGAAGACCTGAATCTTCTGTTTAGAACTAACTGAGAAGCCTTCTTTTAAGATGATGAATCGATCTCAATCCTAGTTACACCGTACACAAATCTCGAATATCTTTTTGATCAAATTTTCCAATGACACCTTTCCAAACCTACACATAAACCATTCATAAGTAGTTAAATAAGAAACAAACTCTTTTCCCTCAACTCAGTTTCATAAACTTGGTGACTTCAGTCTTAGTAACCATACATACACCATGTTCTCAAAAACAATTGTGCTAACGAAAGAGAAATCCAATGCTTTGGCGAATATCAGTAATACAGCGACCAAGAGCATATTCAAAGCGCAGAAACTCTGTTGTCCTTAAGAAAAATGAATGAAGGATGCAAACTATAACATCCCCTCTATGCCAAATAACGGAGTCAAATATGATGACCGACAAGTCATTTGTGAACTACTAAGTGGCTGGTTCTCCACCGATGTGAGTACATCTCATATCCCTGATACAGATGCTAACTACTTTGCAACAAACTCTCAGTAATACAAACTTCAGTCTTAGCAGTATCACTAATTCCACCAAAACTTTCAAACATAGTAGAAGCTCAGTCACCAATGGTATCGCATCTGTTTTCTTCAGGAAGTCAGTCAGTCAGTAACAACGTAGAACTTCGTACGTACGTACATCAGTTCGAGTTTCCAAACAACATTAGCAAAGAGACACAGTTGTCGATTCAAATCTCGTAGTGGTAGAGGTAGTAAGAGTATAAGCAGTAATCCGAAAGATTAGGGTTTGAAGATGTTAGTCAAGGAGTATAATTCAGTGAAATAAATTTGGAAAGAGAAAAAAGGGGCATGAAGTATTCAGAAGATTAGAATTTGGGAGAACACAAAAAGTGGATGCACCTGCGCCATCGCAAGCGATTTTGAGCCATGTCATTCAGGGTCTCTAACCATCGGTTGCTATCATTTCGCAGACCCCAACCAGGTAGTCTACACCTATCAGCATGGCTCAGTCCACTTGTCAGCGACTTCACGGATTTGTGCCATGTTTTGGTCTGGCCGCCCCTAGCTTTCTTCCAACCTACTCCTACACCAGAAAACATCGCACGTCGGGGCAGTCGGTCGTTGGGCATACGTAGCACGTGTTCCAGCCATCTCAACTGATGAAGTTTCACTACTTCATCAATTGATTTGCCATCCTTAGCTAGTACCCGTTTCCTAACAACTGCTTACTTGTCCGGTGGTCCCAGGATATACGAGAAATGCTTCAAAGACACAATCAGTGATTGAGACCAGACAGGTGGGACTAAGTTCAGTTCCCGAATTCTACGTAAGACCTCAGTCAATCTCACTGCTAAAATTGGACCGCCATCCTTAAAAATCTCAGGGGTAAACCTGTCAGGGCCTGCTGCTCTCCCACGCTTCAAATTTCCTATAGCTTTTTCAACTTCGTAAAAAGTCGGAGGACTTATATTAACTTACCATTCAGGTCGACTGGAGATCGTGGGAAACCGAAGTGTGGCTGAAGGCCAGCTGAACTGATCCCTAAAGTGTTCTGCCCATCGATCCAATCTCCTGCATTGAGAATGAATAATATTTCCATCTTTTTCCGATACACGAAGCATGAAACGAGTTGGTTTGTTACTTTAACATGGTGAGGTCAAATGAATGACGCTACTCGGATCCTGTATGTGCGTTTCGGAGACGCAGCACACATCGATGGCGCGAGATTCTAAAGTCCTAGCTAAGGAAGTCTGCTGTCCTATTTGGCACAGTGTTCGTACGTTAAAAGCTCCTACGTGTAGTTTAGATCGTGGTTTCAGGAGACCAGGAATAGCGTTCCGCGTACTCGAATCGTTTGCCCTAGCGGTGCGAGGTGATAAAGGGACGTGAGAAGGGTTAGTCATGGAGATAAGAAATTTATTTGGAGGTGTAGGAAGGATTTGAATGTGACCAACTTAGCTTCGTGAGTTGTTACGGGTATGAGGGCTGATATCACTTGAGGAACCTGAAAAAGAAGTCGGATTAGTGTTGGTCTTAACGACCTGGGAGCGTGATCGCAGAGCCCAAGGGACAACTGCTTGAGGCCGGTCGCGCACGGCCTTTTTGTGGAAGGTTTTTGACGTGTTAGCTCCGTTCTTCAAAGGGCCTTACCGCCGGAGACGGAAATCCGTGAGGTAAGGTGAGGTGTGACATTTTTAGGGTCGACCTTTTCTAACCCCACCCCTCCTTGTGGGAAGGCAGCATCGCTGTCATGCTGGATGTCCGAGGGAAACACCTTACTGCTGTCACACCCCTCTACAGTTAGCAGTACGACTTCGCCCTCAGACCTTGAGTTGCTGCTTTTAGTCTTACCGTTCACCAATCGACCTGCCTGGCATGGTAGAACCTGCAGGAACATATGTTCCAGCCAATATAGCTCGGTTGGGTCATCACGATAGGCAAGCCCGACCACCGCGTCAAGGTAGCAGCTTCGATCGGGTTAATGAAAATTAATGAATATCTGTAGCGTCTACTGAAAAGTCTACGCGATAATATTGAGCAGTGATGAGCAGAGGAAGCAGAAGCGATGGGTCATTACGATAGGCAAGCCCGATCACCGCGTCACGGTGGCAGCTATGGAAGGGATTTTTCAGGAAGCCGGATTCCGATATACCGATACTCTTTACTATTCCTTTATTAGCTGAAACATACCCAGAAACCTTAAAGGTAACTTATGTAGTCTCCGAACAATAGACCGAAATGAAAAATCTAGTACAGAACTGCAGATCAATAAATAATACCCATCATCTTGCGCACAACAGAAGTGATTAATCATCAAACATCTGGTCACCTACGAGGGGAATGTCTAATCGATCACTTATAACACGGCTTCCTTAGAAAAAGGTCATGTGCAACGTGTCTTATGACTCGCATTCGCGACCGAAAACAACTAGTAATCATACTGCACATCTATATTAATATGGACTTTGATATAGTACCTACCAACCCCTTAATCAATAAATTCAAGTTCATAGAAACTACTAATCCTCTACTGAGATGGATCTTTTCTAACGAACAGATTTCAAAGAAATAAAATCAAATCTGAAACACCCACATCTCAAAAAATAATCAGTGTTGTTGTCCAAAGTATTGTCTTGGGTTCATTGTTCGTCACAATTTGTATTAAAGTATATGCAGATGTTTCAACAAAGGTAAGGTCTACTCTACAGAGATACCTGGAAAGTTGTCTATAAGACTGACAGCGGTGAAGTGAGATGAACTACGTAAACAATCCGGAATGAAACTAGTGAAGTAGATGTAAACAATGAAGTTTAGAAGTCAACATGTAGAAATTCAGTTTGTTGTGAATGGGAGACACGCTAGTCAAAATATGGCTCACATTTAGTAACAACATAATCCCCAAACATGTGTCTACGATTGTCTTAGAAGTGTATCACTGGCATAGTCATGTCATCTTCGTACATGTTTACATTACTGTTGGAGTCGTACAAATTAAGTTTTATTCTCCATAACCTTTTTCAAAATGAATCCAGAACTATTTTACACAATACATATCTAAAACCCATAACTGAATACTGCTGGTTCTTATTTTTCGATATATGCCAATCTGAGAAGCTGAAGGTGCAAGGAATACAACGATATTTCGCCCGTAAAATTCCCAAAATCGATTCTCCTTCTGACTATTCATCCCGATTTCACAAACTAGGACTTGAGCCTTTCACGGACAGCTCTGAAAACAACAGTGGAATTTCTAGGTGACCATGACTTAAAGGTTAATGAAAATTAATGAATATCTGTAGCGTCTACTGAAAAGTCTACGCGATAATATTGAGCAGAGGAAGCAGAAGCGATGGAAAAGGCGGCCGAGATAGGTAACAGTAGACAAATTTACATACCTATCATAAAAACAGGTAATAAAAATTTGAGACTATTTCTAAAAAAGATGGGGCAATAATCCACTTATAGCCAATGAAACTGGAACAATGGGCAAGACAATGAAGAATGGTTTAAGTGTTTTTTTAGCTTCCTATCAGTTGCTCACTTTTACTAGACAACCCAAGGAGATATCAATATAGACATCCCGAGTCTTAAAAAAGCAGGAAAAGACATATCTACTCTAGAGTAAAGGAGAGTAGCAGTTCCTGATGAATTAATTCCGGAGATCATTAGGTATAGTAGTTCAACTTTAGAAGTTGGCTGTGATTTTAGCCAGAGCCTGGGAACTGGACGTAATCCTATCTAAATGGTCTCGATCGCTAATCATTGTTCACTGTATAAGGAAGTACAAGTCTTTTTGTGATAATTATAGAGGAATCAGTTTGATTAATATAGTGTCTAGAATATTGGCCTTAATAATCTGACGGTTAACTAGGACTCGCCTAGAAAACTAGACTGGTTTCAGAACTGAATGTAAGTATTTCGATCAGATATTCTCCCTTCATAGGCTTTTGGAACACAGACAAACCTACCGACTCCGAACTGTAGTTATATTTCTAGACCTTAAGGCAGTGTTCGATTCAATAGATCAACAGGTTTTATGGTATTGTGTAATTGAAAAGTGTACCAAGGAAGTACACTAACCTTGTATACGCTCTCTACTCGAGCACTGTTAATCGAGTAAGAGCTTATGGAGAGCTATCGTCAGAATTGATAACTTCATGTGTTCTTCAGGGTTGTCTGGTCACCTCACTTTTATCTAACTTGTCATTAGACATTATTGGGAGAAAGCTAAGCGTGGTCAAACCAAGCCGTGGCATTTCCCGAAACTGACCGGTGAACTGAATTATATGTGAAGTAGACTGCCTGGTTGGGATCTGGATGACTGTCGCAATCAATGGTTGGAAACTTTGGTCGACGGAGCTCAGAATAGTTTGGAATAGTGCAGGTGCACAACTTTTGTCGGCCTTTCTAATGTTTTAACTTACCTTGTAAATTTGTTCGATTCTACTAACTTTCTTAAATCATCCCTTCTGTGTCTAATCTTTTTTCTCATCACTACCACTGTTACTACATCTACTCTAGGATTTGCTCCGATTATTTTATCTAGCCGTGTGACAACTTAGACTGGTGTATATATGTCGTGGGTTCTACATCGATCATGACTGACTGGTTGACCTTATTTACCTTATACCTCTAGTAGTCTGAATAACAGATTGAGAGAGCTATTGAATACTAGAGAGGCTGAAAACGCAATAGGTAACTTTGAGCGATGAGGACAAAGGACCTCACAGGTTAACCCCAAAAGTTAAGAATGGTTGACGAACTTTACTAAATCATAAGGTAGAAATTAGTTAATTGACCCAATCAATTAAACGCTCCATATATTAGACAGAACTTAATTTTATTAGTTTAACATCGACGGTTAATTGTCTTAGTTTGTGAGAAAGGGCATATAACCACAGAGGAAACAGTTTGTTCAATGTCATATTGGCTTCTGATGATTAGATGGAAATTAAGAACTAAAAACTGGGGGATATCAGGCTAGTTCCAAACCTAGATGTTGTTGAAGACCCTAGATGAGATAGTTCTAAACAGACCTAAAAATGTAATCAACTCTGAAGTCTGGACAGAAATAGGCTCAAAGTTGCAAGTTTTCTTTCTTATTACACTGTGCCCATGAGGGCCGCGTACTGAAGTGGAATGCTTGTCTTTTATATCTGGCATTATATTTACATGTATATCGTTACTCAGAATACAAATAAACACATCTTACGAGAAAATGGCGAGAAGTATGAGACATTTATATAATTTGACGTGGCGAACATTTGGATTTTTACGTCTTTGAAGGGAATTTACGGCATGTATATAAGCTAGTGATACTGGTCTGTCTCCTAAAATGGATGTAGAGGTTCACGGAAGCATTCCCTAGCAAACCACTAAAATGCAGTTAACGTCAATAAAACACAGAAATCAGGCATTTTCAAATTTGTCCCCCAACCCAGACAGAACTCCTTAAGGAAACATAAACACTAACCTAATATTGTGGGACTCCTCAGCAATGCGCATCCACGACCTCGCCCCCTGCGAGATTCGAACCCAGGACCTACAGGTTTTGCGCGCGAGGAGTACCACGATAGGACGAAACGGCCGTCCAGTGTTTTCAGGTTTTCCACGGTGGTCTAGCTTCAACTGACTTATGGTCTTAACCATTGAAATTACTATAATATCGACAAAACCTATCTGATACTGATCTAATAGTCAGTAAAACGGGTGACTATGCAAACTATCTAAACAGACTAGATTGTAGATCTACACTTTGGGAACAGAAGGGTAAGAACCTATGTGAGTGTGCTACTTTGAGTTTATTATTTTCTTGTGCGAATCAACTAACAGTCCGGACACCATTTCTCCTAGTAGTTGGTTCCCAAACTTCATTGCTCGATGGGAAAAAACCCACATACTACGAGGACTCCGCTTATGTATAAAAAACCGCTGACGGACTGGAAAAGTCTCAAACTAGTGTGCCTCACTGTGACGAATATTACGTAACATTGAACTATTCCAAATAATAGGTGTTAACAATTATATACGATGATGATAGTAATGTGACAGAGTTGCAATGGTTTTGCATTTATTAACACAACTAGTTAGATCAAAAAAACAGTGACCTCTTATTCAACTGAAATTGATGAGCAAACCAAAGAATACTTACCAGTTCATGGAAAAGGACAAACACAGAAATATTTATTTGTATTAAACTGTTTACACCAAAGTTGAGCCCCTTTTGTTTGTAGGGATCCACCAACTGGTTGAAAAACACAAGATCACATCCCCAGACGACATTTTTAACTTTAAAGTAACCGTCTGATAACAAAACGAAAAAAACCCTAGGATTGCCCATTGTTGCGCTCAGATTTGATTGACCTCCAGAGTGACTAATAGTTTATTACTATGTGACGAGCTGCCTTCAGTTGTTTAATTTATCTACGTTTCCGTTTTGTTGTTAGTACAACGGCTTTTTCTCTGATAAGGGTAAGGTTACACATGATTACAATCGCCCTAATAAATTTAATGGTTACTTGGGGATTAGTACATTGTTAGCTTGAGTGACTGAAATTTTCTCAGTTCAGATGAGTCGCCAGAGTTACCAATTGTCAGGATGGGTTACTGGTGGTTGTTTGTAATTACATTTGTAGAATAGGAGTTAGAATATTGAAAATCGTTGGACAGAAATGAATAGTCTTAAGAGGTAAATAAGTCCCCAAAATAAAATGTCCTGTATGTCCTCGACATTTGATGCCGACCCGACTAATTACAATGGACACACTTAGCTGAAGGCGCTTGGTCGTGCACCCACACCAGATCACGAGTAGGTACGCCGTGTCATGCATCTCTTGTAACCGTTAGCCAGCTTAAAGTGGACGCTTCCCAATATATCGACATTCTTTCAAATATGTCTTTAAGCCTCTTCACTTCTGTCATCTGATTTGATTGGTTTGACATGCCTTGATCACAAAAGTGTTGTCAAACTTCGGATACCTGTGGCATCTTTAGTGGTAAGACTGGCGTGATTTAATACACCGAATAGTAAAGTGTGAGTTTGTTCCCTTACGGAACATTATCTATCTTTTTTAATATCATGTTTATATATTGTGATATTTTTCTTCGCACAACGGTAAATTATATCTTCGTAATGACGGAACAGACTCCTAAGTTGTTTAGCATTAAGACACTTCTGCCACTGCCATTCTCGCCTGATAATAAAGAAATCTGGTTCTATTATACTGACGACCTTCACGGGCACAGCGTGACAGCCACACGTGCACAGTTCCTTGTAGTAGTGAGGCACTACTACGCGAATTCAATAGGTATGTCGCACACAGTATGCTTACTAGTGATGTTCCGGAACCTTGCGACACTTTAATAAATGTTAACATTAAATGTGGAGAACTAACCGACCGACAAAGTCTAGACTGTAGGGTCAGCGGAATGTCAATGAGCCCTAGCCAAATCATCTGGCACTTGAGTCACTGAATATCGAACCTATCATCGATCCCTGTCAAGTTCAAGGACGACCGACGCGCGTCAGGTATTCGTACGCCATGGGCTGGCCCATGTGGTGGTGGTCTTACCTTCGATTTTATCTACTTTAACTAATATATTTCTGCAATGAAGTCCTTTGCGTTGTACAGTTTTCAGAGCATCTATAGTACCTAGATAAGTCAATTGGTCAGTCCAGGCAAGGTGCTGACCACGAGGTGTGACTTCAACGTTAGCTGGTTCGTCACACCATTCCCGTCTAACTCCATTAGGCCTCCAATCATTCGAGACACATCATCTACGCTGGTGATTCGCAGGACCACTTCTTCCAAAACATAGAGCTGCAACATTGCTAAACAACAAAAATGTTGCAGGAGGTCATTGGTCGACGGACCTTTGGTAGCAGCCTGTTTTAACAGCTCTTCTTGTCAATTCTTCCTCAACAGGCGAAGGCAGTGCATGTGCCGTTCCAAAATAACCCTGTGGATGAATTGACTGCACCTGCTGACCGGACTCTGGAGATCATTAGAATCTCCCTAACGATGAGGTCTATTCCATCAAAGAAAAGCCTCAAACAACTAAAAACGACGTTACATACTACTGACACAGTCTAACTCGTTTTCTCGATATTCGTAATAATTTTAGACGATCCGAACTTTTCGGAAAAACTCGTAACCACAAACATTTGTCTGTAGAACATGAAAAACGGATAAACCTTACTGGTGCCGGTGCCGAACTTTTCGTGGCACTGGGCTCCAACAGCACAACCTCTGAAGCCGACCATGCAATTAGTGAAAAGACCCATATTCAACAATTGACACGAAAAGAAGGTTAATTATGTAGGACGCGGAAACATTAATTCAATCCATCGGATGGCATCGCTCAGCCTTGCAGGCGTGCTCATTCTTGGGTCAATTATCTCTTTCCTTAATATCAAATATAGTGTTCTATCTCCCGTCTAAATGTGTTCTGCATCACATAATGGACGAGTCGGTGTAGATATTGATGTGATTTCCACGTAAGATCTTGTAGATTACGTAGTCATATGATGGTTAAACTACAATTTTAGGATTTGGTCTATTATTAGAGCAGTACTAATAATAAAGTGGATCATAACTCCACAAGCTTTAAGCCGTCCGGAAAGAAAATCTTTTCGGGAAACTTCACAGACAGCATGTGTTAACTGCAACAGCAACTGGCGAACAAAGCCGTTTCTTACACATCACAAATGTGACTACGAAAGTTCGATAACTCATCGGCACTAGGGCAGAAGTAGGTATATTTCCAGTAAATTTAACTACCGACTGCGCGGACCTGTTTACCGCTCACATTCGTCAAATAATAAACTGATTACAACATATGGCGAGCGATATGTTCACATTAATATGGGTTTACGCGAATTCATCCACTAGATTACTGTTTTTGCAAGTTTTTCTATGCTAGTCAAAGGTATAGACCTGATAAAACATATTCTACATACGTACACGCACAAATGGGAGTTAATGGACAGAAATGCTGATGTATCTATCAGTTTAACCTCCTTTTCTGGCTGTAGGTTATCCTCAGTAACTGTTAGGCGCATAATCGATCCATACTACCAACGGATACTCGATAATACGGTAAAATGTACCAAACGCAATCAAAATTACCGTATGTAGCACGCCATGTTGCATACTGCATCACAACTACAGGACCACCTGTATTCTCGAAAGCGTGACAACTACCTCCCAAAAAGCTAAGGCTAGCACGAAACGAATTCGACCACTTGATAGACTTGAGAATCATCCAGTTCGTGAACAACCAATGGGTATCCTATTTACAGATGTAGCCTTAAAAGCACGGCAATAATTGACAATTTACGGCGACTGAGTGAGAAAACCATTCCTGATCGTTATCTGTTGCCTCATATTCACAAAGTGACAGCTACCTTGAAAGACGCAACTGTTTTCTCGAATATCTACTTTGTGACAGAATACTACCGATACCTCATGGCTGCAGACGATATCTCTAAAACTGCTACCATCAACCTCTTCGGGCTCCATTAAGTTTCGCTCGTCCCTTTCGGCTCAAAAATGCTGCACAAACTTTCCAGCGATTCATCAATCACGTCTTCATAGGTCTCAACTTCACTTACACATACGGAGGTATCTGCCTTATCGCAAGTCCGGACAGACAACCTCATCTCTAGCGTCTGGACTATGTTTTCGAACGACTCAAACGACATAGAATCAGTGTACATATTCAGAAATTTTAAATCGTAAAAAACTCCCTAGATTTCCTCTGACACGCTACTGCTGCTTGATGAATCCACATCCTGAAAAGCGAAGCCCCGGTCATTTTGTATCACCCAGAAATGGCCATAATCGAGCAATTGCGTGCGTTCAGTAGCTTGACGGAATTCTATCGAAAGTTCATACCGAATTGCACGTTTCCTACTAAACCCTCAACAGACCAAATTCGTGGAAATGAGAAACCTATCAATTCGGATGAAAATGCGACTAAGACACTCCTCACTGTTAAGAGATTAAAAAAGACACTTTTAGTCACTAATACTGGCAGTTTGAAATCATAGCCCCTATCATCATGATTGCTAGTCGGCGACACCTTTCATCATCATTTACGACATCAGGTTTCATCAAGGTGATAGTTAAATTAAATATATTCTACACGATGCATTACAACTAATCCCAGAATTACCATGTTACAAGCATATCAGACAGTTTCAACTTGTAAAGTATGGGTTATATATGGGCGCAGTATTATGTGTTGCAGTAAAATGAAGCACAAGATTCTTAACAAAGAATCAGTAATTAGGAAGGTTTAAAGACAGATGTGTGCTTATCCCGCCAAAGAGAATACAGTTGGAATATGAGGCTGAAACAAGGCGTTAGGTTACGAACCAAATGTGGTGTCTGCATGAACTAATGATTCCCTTGTACTTGTTGGATGCTTGATTTTGAATTCCAAACGTAGTACATTTGTTCGTCATTATCTAGTACTTCTTGATCCAACTGCGTTTGTAACGACCGAACAGCCAATATTCGGTTGGAACAACGGACTGACGAACCCAAAATTTATTCGATTAGACCAGACCAAGTTCCTTTGTATAGCTCACAACGTGTCTTTGAGATACTCGTATTATATTATATCAAAACACAAACTCTGTGCTCAATATAAACGGTTCTAATTAAGAAAACAGAACAAATTACATCAAAAATACAGAATACCTCAAACGGTACAGCCTGTGCTATACAGTCATAAGTTTCTCTAACGCAAAGTAGCGCGCTAAACAATGAAAGAGACAGTTAATACTAAAGGGTTTGATACCTGAGAATCAATACAAATATTCCCAATAAGATGGGATCAAATATCTATCTGCAGGGATTGCAGCAATTCTCCCAAGCAGACAGTCAGAAGGTTAACAATCACAAACTGAACCACGCCGTGACCTTGAGCTTAGTCAAACACAACCTTACTGTCAATGGTCCGGCAACATGCAATAGAAAATTAGGTAACAAAATAAGTCTTTAATCAAAATCACATAATAAAGGCTCAAACGGTGAAGACTGAAGAACAAAAGACATGGTTAAACGAGATCGAAACAAAGGTTGGAATACGCAGAAGGGAGAAGGAACAAATAAATGAAAATACTGTTCAACAAAGAAGCTGCAGAGGGATTTTCACCGTTCTCTTTCCGTTACAGCGTTCTTTCTGGGATTCTTGGTTTTTACTATAATTCAAATGCTTCTAATTATCACATGAAACCAATTGAAGGTCCGAAAAATATGTGCGGAAAGTTGTAGACTGATTGGGACTAAACAGAAAGGAACTCACATTAGTTGGTGGTCAACATATTACTAGGATGTTCATTGTAGTGAGGTTGTAGTGGCACTGGGTTGAGAAAAACCCAACGAAGGAGAAAGCAGGATGAATGAATCCAATTAATTCCAATTGATCGGGCGACATGGCTTTGCCTTGCAGGCAAGGTCACTCTTGAGTGTCGTAACATAATCTTTTATCCATATTAAATATATTTTTCTATTACCAATAATCCTTACTTCCACTTTAACTTTCTCGATCAATTTTTACTTATGTAAACCCACTATTCCATTAGTCCCCTGATTAATGCTCGCATGTATTATCGTAATGTTATATCGATTAGTGTTCAAAACATATCAACTCAGTCGACACTAAAAACTGGTCATGTATAATAATTATTAGCTCAGATAGTTCATTACCAAGCTCTAATAGCATTTTTGTGCTTCAGCGAAATAAACTTGTTAGACGTCGAACTCTAGCAAATATGACATGTAAATAACCTAAATATACATTGACAAGCAACGTAAGCAAGGACTAACTAGTTATCTGGATCTAATTCTTCATATTGTTTCTTCACTTAGCGCCGCACTGTGTTTTAAAGCAAGCACTATCCTGTAATATCTTTTCTCCCGACCACTGCCTTCCTAATTTCCCATTTTTAAGTTCCATTGCTAAACAACAAGTATAACACCACTCCAAAAACATACGGTGAGTTTAAAGTATAAATTTTCTGCAAACATAAGGTCACTTTGGGTGGTTTATGCAATGACAGCCACTAACGAGTGACAAAAGGTCAACAGCACCAAGCACCCTGGATTTAGTTGCCATGCTGCATGTTTTATTCTGGATGCTTTTGGATAATTGCTACTAGTCACGAATGGCCTTATGTATGTCGTCTATTGAATCTAATTTTCAAAAATAATCCAGGCGAGTCTAACTCTTTTGCTGGATGGCTTACTGTACTTAACATGTATATGTTTTCACTGAGATTAGTAGTATATATTGCATAGGAACCGCTTCCAAAACGTTTTTGGTATAAGAAATATTTAATATCTTTATACTACAATATACTACTAAAAAGTGTGTTGTTTAAAGACATTTCTTAGTCCTAGTTGCTTTCGCCACATATTTGTAAGTGTAATTAGGCTGAATACAGGGACTTCTAATGGAAAATTTATAACTCGCCATATTCCTACCTAAAGTTCCAGAAGTTGTCCTAATTTTAAAATTATTTTTCTGGCCATGTTTGTTATTTTTAAATTGTCAAATACCTCAACAACCTGCGTGTTACCCTGGCCCGTACATGCGTTGCATTGTATCTCTACATCTTTTAAATTCAAAAATCATTTGAGTCGTCTCTAATATTTTCAATAAACCCATCAAAGTCACTATTGCTATACGTATTTGGGTTTATGAATTGGTTAATCATATTATTAGCCTAAAAAGACGAACTTAGTTTAAATAATAAAGTTACAAATTTAGGCACTATAAACTGCACTAGTATAATAACTAAACTCTCAGGTGGTTGTTGGTTAAACAAACATTTAAAATCAAAACTCCGGAACCTACTAATAAAATTTTTGAATAAGAATTTATAATACAGTTAGGCATCTCGAAATCTTTAACACTAAATAGCTCTTCCATTTCATAAGCACATAAAACAACAATACCTATTTTCAACTGGCTACTCCTCAATCAACACTATAACTGGTTAAATATAATGGTTTTAGGATATCGTCCTAAAGCATTGTCATGACTCGACAATCAGGCTCATTATGATTGAGAACAAGTCAATCAATCTGTGATATTGAGGTTGTTATCTTACGCTCATCATTCAGACTAATGTTTCCATTTTTATGCAGGATCTACTATTTTACTAAGACAACATATAACATACTTACTCGGACTTCTGCATTAGGACTGTGTGGCAGGCATCGGATGGATAAAAAAGAAAAAAATCAGACAACAAAAGACATACTTATTAGTTTTCTTAACACTTTATTCTCCATATGCACTTTCTGTTCTAGTAAACAAATTTCCTTATTCCAACCTTGACTTCCTTTCTTTCATTTAAACTTACTCCACCTTGATAAATATCACAACTTATTGTTCTTTATCACTGCATTCTCTCATCTGGAGCCTCTGATGACATTCCACTCCAGCAACAAGAGCTAGTGCGAATTTAATCAAATAATTTATCATACCCTTGTCTGTTCCACCACGAAATGTTAAGTATTGTTTATCGTTCATATCCAAGTGCCTTGTGGCTCCTCGGCTTCTCTTTTTTTCAGAATCTTGCTCTGAGGATACAGCTATGGAACTTCTGACATCTGTAATAAACTAGATGTACGTGTCTTCCCGAGGTCATGGTTCACACCAGGCGCTCTACAAGTCTACTTTATAACAAGTATAAACTTAAAAATTTGCATTGCATGAATACTTAGCACGACCAAGATCTTAATACAGTTATGCCAAGATTGAATCTGGTGTGTAACGTGCCACTCTGGAGAATGTTTTGAAGATTACTCAGTATATATGAAGGAATGAACTGATATTCACTTTCCTAGATTATATTTATTTAACAACCCTGCTTGGGATGCATGCTGCGAATCAGTAGATGTGGTAATTTCTAGATCCATGTCTATAAGAATGGCGTGTACCTGTCCTTGCAGAAATATACGATTTTTACTATCATGACAAATCCGCAATGTTAGGATTAGGTCAATTATTAAAGCAGTACTAATACTGAATTAGACTATAACTCTACAAGCTTACGTTTCGTAGTGTCTTGTGAAATCGTGGCCATCGATGATTTTTTGGCATAATATTTGTGAAAGGATTTATAATTGCGCAGTGTATTGTTCAGGTGAGGCCTTTTTAGAATGTCTGTGCACCCAAGGTAGCCAAAAAAGGAAATATTTAATAAATAGTGACCAATGTTGTGTTGAAAGAGGGAAGTGCAGAAAGTAAGCTACGGGATCGTTAAAATGGAAAACTAAAATGGATGATTTATGTAACTGCGAACGGTCAGTTTCTACCCTAGATAATGATTTGTATCTGTTATTACCGTATATATTTTGTTTAAGGTACAAATATATATGTATGATTATAAATATCTGTGTTGTACTTCAGGATTTCGGTGTTTCCTTTGTGAACTTCCGGGTTTCTGCTACAGAAGCCGCTTCCATGGTGATTGTCTTCGTCCGCATTTGTTAGTGTGTATGTGGTAGCATGTCTAGTTCACTTACATGGTCTAAGTCCAATGCCTGATGTATCCACTGCAGTCCACGCTTCTGCTGAGATGTGGAGGTCTTCTTAATCAAATCAACGGGTAACGAAAATAAGGATAGATGAAACAATGAACTTCTCAGACCAAAGAGTATTGTAGATCATCAACGTAGATAGTCTGTGTCGAATGATTGGAGGTCTACTCGAGTTAGACAGGAATGGCATGACGAACCAACTAACTTAGAAGTCACACCTCGTGGTCAGCATTTAACGTGAATTGCCACTTCAACGTATTAAAGTACTATGGCTACTCTGAATACCGTGCAACACAATGGACGTTACTATGAAAATGTATTAGTAAGAATGAGTAGAGAGAAGATAGAGAAACCACCACCGCATGAGTCAGTCCATGGCATGCGATCAACTGATGTGCGCTGGTTGTCCTTGACCTTGACAGGGATCAACGATCCGTTTGATATGCAGTGGCTCAAGTGCCGGATGATTTGGCTAGGGCTTAGTGACATATTAGTGGCCCTACAGTATGTTAAATAAGAAATCATACTTTAAGCACAATTATACCATGTATGGTAGACGATGGAGTAAACGGTACATAATCAGCCAACAATAATTGAGGAATGGTTAATAGCGTGACAGCAGTTAATAGGTTTAATGGAAGTTTATAATAAGTGAGATGTTGGAATGTAACAATATAGATATCTACTAATTATACAATGAAGATATAAATAATAATATTCGGGAAAGGGCTTTGAGAGTTTTAGATCTTCCAATATTCATTCTGTCACAGGATCTATCACCACAGGTCTCGTTGTATGCTGAGATTATCAGGATGTGGGGGAGGGGAGAAGTAAGGAATGAAGGTGACAGTTCAGAGCGTGTTAATGATAGAAGTTATCTGAATGGTCTAGAATTTGTTCTTTACATGCAAATACTTTTAAGCGTATTGCAGTTTAAATTAGTAACTAGGGTACAGACGCACAATAAGGAGTAATGTTTAACTACTTGTAGTATGTGCATAAATTGATCTGGGTGTTATTGTCAATCGAGCAGCTCACTGTCTCTTTTAGGCTAAGGCTGACTGGTTACTCGGTCTTAGGACGAACGGACAGTGAATATATATTCCAAAAAGTACTGACATATGTGTCTGAATAACTTGATCATTGGCTCGGGTCCTCTTAAACATTTAACATTTAAATTTATTCTCAGAATCACAGAGTCGATAAATGACGAGATATTAGGTAAAATAGATATATTCCCCCAGTCATATCGAACTAGAAAAGACTTGAACATAACTTTTAAACTGAATAATGATAATTTTGTGTTCCACGTATCGCGATTCGTCTTGGATTCGAAAACCGAGCATTTACGAAGACACTCCAAAATGTCAACAGTCCCATGATAAATTACTTCTCACGTTACTTCTGACTGTCTTATCGAATCATCAGCGGGCCTAACTCTTTACCTCAAAAAGATAACTGAAATCAAACGAACTGGTAGACTATTACTAGGATTAACACAGGCCATTCAGCATGTTATCTTTCTTAAAATGATGCCGAAGTAGATCGTGCCGTCTGTTATCAAATAATGAATGTTCATGCTAACTAGTTTTAATCACCTCCTGAGTTAAGAACATATAGTTAAGGTGAAAAGACGGATTGTTCTTTTTCAGTGATACTTCAAGATGAAATGTACTATATCTTAGCTCTAAAGAAATCTGGTGTTTTACCTTGTCGTTTCGAAGGTTAGAATATGGGAACAATTTCGAATTCTTGCTAAATGTCATCTCTCTCCGCATCGGTTGCAGAGGCTAATAAGCTTACTTCTAGTGGTTATTCATCAGTTCAAGATCCTGTTCGTTTTGCAAGGCGGGGTGCATTGCGAGAAAAGAATGTCTCATATGTGAAGGGTCATGAGTTTGTTGCACGATTCTTAAAACAATTCACATTTTGCGGGCATTGTAAAGACTTCATATGGTATTTTTTGGAAATCAATATACGTCATCTCTATTTTAGGGGCCTTGGTATACAAGGTGTTCAGTGCAAAACTTGTCTGTTTACGGTTCATAAAAGGTGTTATCAACTAGTTACTTTTCAATGCCCTGGCGCAGATACTGGGCCAGATACAGACGTATGTTTGAAACAATATGAATTTATTTAATTACCTAGTTTGAGAAAAAGCACGATTTCGTGCTGTACACGTATACAAGCCCAACGTTTTGTGATCACTGTGGTTCCCTTCTTTATGGTTTGCTACATCAAGGGTATAAATGTAAAAGTGAGTAGTCGTATCTTAGATAGCTTTAAATGCACAGTTGGTAAATAACTTTACGTTTTGCAATCATTTACCTAATTCCGTTTGGAGAGAATGTCTTCAGTATGCATTCTGAATAATTTTATTTTGTAATCTACTGAGCGATGCTTACTATTTAGTAATTTTCTAATGCATTCACAACATCATATCTAACAATTGAGTTTAGCTCTAAATTACTTGTTTGATCTGAACTTTACCATTGCTGTATATTAAAAATAATGATGTGTTTTCTGCCCCTAGTATTAGATTTGGTATTTTATACTAACGCTTTTAATATAATTGAATGAAATGCGGATGATCTCAATTTCATTCAAAGTTAAAGCTCATATAATGTTTGCGCAAAACTGCAGTATTCTTGTATTAGATGCCTGACTGAAATGTTACGTTCGAATTCATGTTAGTTTATTTAGTTACTTAACCTTTCCTTTTGTATCGTATAACTACGAAGTCATAGTTACCATTGTCTCAGGAAAATGTGACCGTAGAAACTAATTCTTAACTGTATTAAACTGACTTAAGTCTTAGATTACTACATGATAACTAACACAACTATATCACAAATAAAAGAGCATTTACAGGAATGGACTTCTGAAATAGCTTCCAAAAGCTTTTCTAGTTAAAATGTGTTCAATCTTACTAGAATCACTTAAAAAGTAGTCAAAAGCAAGGTCACCCTGGACCCAAAAAACTGGGTATTTAGGATTTTTTTTGCTTTTGTAGTTCATAATCTTTCGAAGTATTTGGATATTTTATGTTTTAAGATTAAAATGGATACAACTGACTCATTGTAACTCACCTGATTCATCATCCTAGATTAATAAGCATGGTTGAGTAAACGAATGACATGTCAACAATATTACCTAACAGTAGTGTATGTGGTGGAATTACTTAGGAATGTTGTGCAAATGAGAGGTGCCTAATCGAGTGAGTTTTAGTCAGAAATTTAAAGAACCAGAGAATCACTGATCATGCATAAAAGCTTTGTAGATTTCAAGTTGTATGCATCTGATGTAGTTGTTAACCAAAAATGCTAAAGGACTGGGGAATAGGAAATTGCAGTAGAAAATTAAAAATCAAATCGTCACTGGCGATGAAATCTAGGATGCATGTTTCATCCCACTTGAGACCCGTCAGCTAGATTTATGTGTGTTGATGGTCATCCTGAAATTCGGACACATTGTTTTTCCTTTTATGTTACAATAGGCCATCCATCGAACTACTAAGTTGATATATCTACTAACTTGTTTACATATTACGAAGTTATGCATATGTGAAACTTAAACTATTATATATATATATCAGGATAGTAGAAGCAAAAAAATGGTAAAAGTGGAATAGATTGTAATACAAATCAAGCTACGCAAAAAAGCAGGCTTTGAAGATAGTTGTCGAATAAATAAGCATAAATTTGTTGATAGGGAAGACAATTACTGGTAATTATTATACTATCTCACTTAAGTTGCATACTTAAGACTGTGTAACATTTACTAATTGATGATGATTTTTGTGTTATCCGTTTAATATTATCATATTCAATCATCTGTGGCATATAAAACTCTTAAGAACCGCTGACGGCAATTATGGAAACTATGATTGCTATTTTGAATAGAGGTTTAATGTATTTTAAGTAATGAATTTTATTAGCCTATTTGTTGCTTCTATACAGTTTGTCAAATTTTCTTTGTCCCGTTACAGACTGCAATTTAAATGTTCATAAGAGATGTACATCTAAGGCTCCACGACTTTGTGGAATGGATCATACAGAAAGGAGAGGCCGGATGAAGGTTTCAATTACAGCTCAAACAGGAAGATTAAAAGTTGAAAGTAAGAACTTGCTTTTCAGTTACTTAATTTGCTGAAAATGAAAGTGACTTTTAATGCACGAATTAGCTCATGATCATTTAGTTTCTACAGTCTTACTAAATTTAAGTTACCTAACCACTGAGCAATAAGTGGTTGATATGGTTATAATTGACAGTTATCAATCCCCACTGACAAATAAACATGCATAGCTAAATACTGTGTTGTGATTTCTGGAATTATTTTTCTCATAACATCTAAAATCTCACTTTTCACCATTTTTAATTTTAAGCTTCGTTTGATGGTTAGCAGAGAGTTGTATGCGATCAACAAATAACCACCGGCAGTAAGTTTGATGGCAAAGTATACTTGCGTGTCAGAGGTTTTGATCTGCTTGTTTGTTAATTCATGATTGTTCTAATCTCTAACTTGTATTTTAAAATTTGTTCGGGATGTGTCTCGTGTCATTTTGATAGATAATTATGAAAACATTTTTTTCTGTCAGTTCTTATTTTTACATACTCTGTATTACAAGATGTTTGGATCATAAGAAACAATTTTAAATTAAGAATCAACTTTTTGTTCATCCACACAACGGCGACTTAGATTTCACTTTGTTGATTTTGAACACCTACGGAACATTAAATTCTTACACTCATTATGTATACTTTCGGTCAAGATTAGTTTTTTGTTCATTATAGATTTCAACTCGAGCTTTAAGCAAATATTCAGGTAGAGTAAAATTTCAATCGTTCTAATGAGTTTGCGGGAAGCATGAAGGCTTTGCTTTGTCAAAGTTAACCAAAAACAAAACGTTTAGCATTAGGCTTTTATTTAACTTTTTTTCTTTTGAAATATGTCTTTTACAACATTTTAGGTGATCAACCATGGGAGTTTATTTTGTGTTTATTTTGGTGATGTTAACAAATTTTAGGTTCTACAAAAAGGAATTCTGCCAAACCTAGTAAATGTTTTTCTGTTGAACAAGTAGCTGTATCAGACAAAATGTTCCTTATCTTGATATTTGTTTATTATTAGTTCTTTACATTTTGGATTGGAATTATGTTTTCCGTTTGCTAATGTTCGTGGTACTAAATCGTTTTTATTATTCGTTAGTGTTTTACCTCAACTTATCGTTTTTACATGATTTTCACGTTTACTAGGAAAACTGTTTGCAACAATCCATTTTTACACAAGGGTCATGTATTTTTGTTTTTAATACCATTATAGCTTACAGATTTGTTTGCCGGCTAACTAATAGCTTACTTATGGCCTCGTTGCTAACACGTAATACAGATTACCGGTTATACTCGAACGAAGTGATTGCGTGTTGTTTGTACACATATAAGCAAAAGTTCACTGTATTTCAATGTATACTTGTAGTGAACATGATGACAGTTTTCGGTTCAGCACATAAAAGTAAATGCAGTTCCGCGTTTGTCAGAAATTATACATTTTAAATCTAAACTGTGTTACTTCTGAATGAGACAGAAAACTGGAGTCGGGTGGTTAGCATTCCGTAACCAGAAGTCTTAATCCACTCCTAATTCCTTGCCCAAGTGTCGATTTTCAAGTTTATTTATGAATGAATTTCTCTAGTTCCGTTTATTCATTTTGATTTATTGAAAATATCAGAAAAGGGACTGAATGTGTGTGAATTTTTGTTATTTGTGTGGCTTAGTCATTAGTGTTTGGATTTTCAATGTTCCCATTAAATCATAATTACAGTTTCTGCTACATGCTTTTGGATCAGATTGTTGTAACATTGGAGAATTAATCTTTGTGCCCATCAGTTTTGTTCCAGAAACTAATTACAACAGTAAATTGTGGCAGTAGCAACGTTATTAATACATATATGTTTTATAATTTACATATATTCAAAGACATATTTCTTTGAGTGACCTGTATTTCGATATTGTGTCCGTGATCATTGTTCTACAATTTATTTACTGTTGAGCACTTATTTTTAAACATGGCTATGATGGCTGCCAACTGGTTATATAATAATTAACAATATAATTATTGATATTGTAGATGATTTGCTAAAACGTTGTGACCATATTAACATTCTGGGAGTGAATATATGCATCGGAAAGGTTGAAGTACAAGTTTAAGTTATATAGTTGAACTATCGATTATTACTTTGACAATTATCGCATTATTGTTAAGGAACTTATAACATTTGCTTATATAAACTGGGAGTGCATCATTGATTAAAAAGCAAGTATATATACTTCACTTGATTGATGAGCTATTTCTAATTATGAAATAACTGTCATCATAAAATGACAGTTTGTAAAACATTATAAAACCCGGAGGGTCACTGAACACATATCTAATTTATGATTTTTAAACAATTTAAGTCTTGTTTGGTGTACGCAACAGACTGGTTTATAGCGTTTCAAACTTTCACGTCTGAAGATCGATCTAGCGTGTTAATTAAATCACATGTTGATCAATAAAAAGACATTTGAAAATACACCAGTATTCAAAATGACCAATTTTAATCATAGTTTAAGAGCTCCACAGTAGTGTTGTACAATATTCTGGGATGATTCTTGATAGTTTACTTCAATAATTCTCAAAGGACGTTTTAACCAATATAGATCGACACAAGTGGATTAAAAATAGAATAAAAATGAGTCTCGATTATTTGTTATATTTTTTAGATGATATTAGTTTATTGGCAAGTTAATTGGATGATAATTCTCATAAAAGTGTTAAAAGTATAAAGTCGTTTTTTAAAATAATATGTGATGTAGAAGATAATATTGAAAACGAAGAGATCGGTATTGTTGACGTTAGCTACACTTTAACTCACGGTTTCATACCATATCGTGTTGGTGTAATATCTTTATGATCCAAATAACATGTTAGTGTGTTTTTCGTCTTAAATCCATAGCATGCAACAGACTGATCGAAAAATGCTTCTTTTAACATCTCATTTATGTTTGTTTGATCATGCCATTTTTTTGTGGTGTCTTTCTTTAAGTTTGATAAACTTGTCATTCTGAAATAATCTCCAGCTGATTCCAGTGGTTTATATCTTTTGTCGTTATTCTGGCAACTGTTAAGGTACATTTTTGTCAACTATGTATTCTTCGGATGTGGCATAGTTAGATTTTTTCCGAATGTACAACAAAAAGTAGTAAATTACTAGAAGTTATCGAATGATTTTATCCCAACACTGTTCCAGTGCTTACAGACTTGTTTCCGTATCGGCGGGAAATCGGTCTGTCAACCTTTCATAGGAAAAGTTGAATCGTATTCTACAGTCAAATAACAATCAAGATCTTTTCATTCAGCTGATGTTTGTTGACTGACATATTTAGTTGTTGTGCTGTATTTTCTGTTAAATATATTTAGATAATTTATAAATTGAGGAAAAATACATGTAAACTATAAGTCAGTGAACAGTAATTTCAAGTTTTATATGTAGACATAAATAATAAGGGGATGTGATAAATTTATACTAAGGATGGTTTATTAACGTTGGAGATGGTTTCTAAAGTTCCCATTTGTACAATTTTTAGTGAGACAGAAAGCTTTGCCATGACAACCTTATTCACTGTTCTATATTTGCATTAAATGGAATCTAAGTTATTTTCCTTGTATATACCACAATAAAAAATGCTGGATGTAGATTAAAATAAAATGTTTGAGAAAAAACACTTATGGTAAGGGATATGATTAATGTTTGTTTGAATTATTTATTTGTTATCTATCTAAGTGAATTCTATTTGTGAAATAACGTTTATTTGCATTACCTTTATATGTTCATTAATAATAGTAATTGCAAAACTGCTTTTATCTGACTTTATTTTCTCAAGTGGCCACTAATCACACTAGGTAGATATATTGCAAATGTGCTTACTGGTATCGATCAATTGCAATGTAATAGAAAAGAAGCGATTTTGGAAATAGAAAAATGAATAATTCGGCATTTGTACTTCAAATCAGAAATCGTACTTAGTTGGACATTTGAAACTGAGAATTTAATTATTTTTCCTACATTGTCGACAGAATATCCTTTGATATAACTAATTCGTTCAGTATATTTTAAAGAGAACAACTATCTAATAAATAACTATCGGAAGTGATGGACACAATATGTAAATCTATGCTAAAGTGGAATACCGCCAATCTCATTTATATTTATGTACTGGTTTTAGTTCATGTGACGGGTTTCATGATCAAATAATTATTTGAATTACTTGTATTGTATTTTTCTGAACTCTGTCATTTTAACTTGTCCGTCTCAGTAATACTTGTTGGATGCGTGGATAAAAAACACTAGATTTAGTAACTAGGTCAAATTTGTTATAAAAGTTCAACCAACGCTCAGCACTGTACATGTTCGTTGCTACTCAGTTACTGAACAGTTTAAATATTTCCATTTCACAGATGATGAGTCATTCCCTGAATGCCTTGATATCAATGTCAGTCAGTCACAAGCAACGCAAAACCTGACATTTGTGCATCAATTCAAGATGCCATACCACATTAGCACAGCGAGTTAACGTTATCAAGACTTATCCCAGTGCAGTAGAAGTAGTAACACGGTCTGAAATGAATTTTGATCCCACTAGAAGGATTTAGTTCTTCGAAATTGCAGATACACTTTGTTGACGAGTACCAGATAATACAAAGCTTACTGGTCACCTCCAACCACCTAACATCGAACACAGTTCACTGATATATCAAGTTTACTAGGTTAGGGCTGCACCGAAGCTCAGACAATTAATCATCACTAAGGTCCAGACAAACACGACATCGGTTACTATTTTGTGACGAATTAGTGTTACTAGTTTTATTACTAAAGTATAATCTTTCTATTTTTCTTAAAATTTTAAGGATTTCTATTGCATTCTCTTATATGGTATTGAATAAAGATGTTTTAATTAAAATTATTCGGTTAGCGTAAATATAATCGCTATGATAAGTATATCGATCCATTTTTGGAAAAAAACTGGTCTGTGGTTAAAAAAGAGTATAAAGTGAGTAGATTTAATACAAACTATCAA